TGCCCAATTACACAGGAAAGTCCCCACCCAGCCCTGGAGAGGCGCTCCTTGGAGAGCAGCAGAACTGCAAGGAGCAGCAGGCAGGCAATTAAAGGCCCGCACAACTGGCAAAGGCAATGAGCGGTGAATTGATTCTCCAGCTGGTACCTTGCAGGGAGCATGTTGTTCTGTGGCAACTCAGGGAGCTGAACGGGGCCGCAAAGCAGGAGATGTTCCCTGCTACTTGTTAGGGGTTATTCTCCCAGTGTTGAAATTTAGATTGTATGCTCCTACAGGTGAGGAACCTGGAGCCCTCCATGTGTTGTTGTTGCTGCTGCTATATTGTGATTGTTGATGTTGTAACAATAATGTCTTTCTTTTTCCTATTTGATGCTTTCTTTTAAATTTGAGTTTAAGGTGCAGTTTGCATGGAATATCAAACTTTTTCATTATGATTGTTTGTTGTTGTTAACATTTATAATATAATAATATTGATATAGATAAAATATATTACTGTTAAATTACTACTGAAATGTATATAAATGAAAATTTATATACATAAATAAAAATTTTAAAAAGATATAGATGCAATAATATTGTTGATGATAATAATGTTTATTACATTATTATTATTATTATTATTATTATTATTTATAATAATAATACATTGATATTCCACCTTTTTCTCCAAGGAGCTCAAAGGTGGCATACACACATTGATATTCCACCTTTTTCTCCAAGGAGCTCAAAGGTGGCATACACACTGCTCCCCCCTCCTAGCTTTTGCCTCTACAACAGCCCTGTGATGTAGGCTCAGCTGAGAGAGACAGCAGCTGGCCCAAGATGACCCTGTGAGCATTATGCCTGAGTGGAGATTTGAACCCATAAAACCATGTGTGGAGGGGCAACGGTGGTGGGCTGCCAAGGGTCACCTGGCGTCAGCACTGTACACAATGATGACAGGGCGTATGATGCCAGCTACATCCTGCTGACGTTACACTGCTGTTAGGTATCCACCACGAAGCAGGGCTGCTGTGATTCATGGCAGAAGTGTGGGTTACACCTCCGCACACTCCCCACACCCCCTCCAGCTCATGCACTTAGCCGGTCAAGGATTCGTAGCTCAGTGGCAAAACACCCGCTTTGCACGCAGAAGTTCCCGGGTTCGGGTGTCGCTGTCTCCCTGCCCACGCGAGAACCTTCAAAAGCAGGTTCTCAGTCTTGGGTGACAACTCCATACGAAGCCAACTTTAGTTATGTGCCCTGGGCTTCAAATCGAAGCCACCAGCTCCTCCTCTCTGCTTCTTCTCTGTGTGTTTTTTTGATGCAGTGGTTTTATTTTTAACTCGTCTTAAGGCACCACAATGGAAAGCTCAAGGAAGATATTCTGGACCAGTCAGCCAGGAATTTTCAAGCGTGGTTTTAATGAGCCTCCTTCTCAAGCTCGGGGAGAGGAGGCGTGACAGGTGGGAGGATCCTCCGCCCCAGATCACAGCCCGAAACAGATGCAGCGCTATTGTCCCTCCTTTGGAAGGCTCTTGTTTTCTCTGATTTCACCAGGGACAAGCTCTTTAGACTAGTTCTGTTACATTTTGTACCTGTTCATTGCAATATCCCCTGGCTGGTTACACTAGCCTCTATGGCAACCGCCATAGTAACACAATTGCACAATGCAAAGGCAGGGCCACCAAGCTTTTGCCGGCTGGGCTGGGCGTGTGGGATAACCCAGAGGGCCCCGCTCTCTTGCAGGTAAAAACTTGGCTCATTGTCTGAAAAGTGGGGGTGGGGGGGCTCCTGACTCAGGCCTGTCCTTTGCTGCTTTGCGCTAATTGAAACAGATCACTTTGGGTGCATCCAGACAGCCTTATTGTTTGGGTATTCGTCCTGATTTGTTTTCATGCATTTAAGGCCCCTTTCTTTCTCCTCCAATGAATCCTGGGAATCTTAGCTTGCTAAGGGTGCTGAGAACTGTATCTCTGTGAGGAGTAAACTACAGCAACCGGCCAGGCTTCCTCGGGGAGAGGACCTGTACTTTGGATCCGTGTTTTTGAGCCATCATCGGTTTGGAAAGCAAGGAGATAGATGATTTTCTCAGTTTAGTCAGTGGTTGCAGATGTGACTTATGATTTGGTGAGGTTGCGGGAGAGACAAACTCGTGAATAAATTAACCAAAAGGACTCATTTTACTGGACCGTGTGTGTGTCTGTGTATGTGTGTGTGTGTTTTCTCTCCCTCCTTCCCTCCCCTCTTGTAGCATCCCACTTTCTCCCCATTCTTCTCCTCACAGTATCCCAGAATGCTCCCTCTCTCTCTCTCCCACCCTGCATTCCATTCAGTGCCTCCCCGACTGATCAGAGCCTCCAAAAGCCCATAGAGCTGAAAGAGGAAGTTTGAAAGAGCAACTCTCTTCTCACTTCCTCCATCAGCTCTATTGCAGGGAAGGAGCTAACCACTCTGAACACCATGTGATGTGAGTGGGGTAGGACTCAAAGACTGCACAGTCACCAAAGGAAGGCCTCATGGACATTATTATGCCCACGGGCACCACGTTGGCAACCCCAGCAGCCAATATCTCGGCAGCATGGCTACCTCTCCACATGTTGGAAAAAAGGAAAGAATCAGGAGTTCAAAGAGATCAGCAGTTCCCAATTTAAGGGTACTGGGGAAGAAGAAATGAATATTTAAACTGAATAGTTCCATCAATCATAGCAGTCTGTCACCTATTCCCCCCTATTATTTCTCCTGATTTGCAAAAGCATTTATTATATTAGACTCTGCATTGTGGATACTGGGACGCAGGTGGCACTGTGGGTTAAACCACAGAGCCTAGGACTTGCCGATCGGAAGGTTGGCGGTTCGATTCCCTGCAACGGGGTGAGCTCCCATTGCTCGGTCCCTGCTCCTGCCAACCTAGCAGTTCAAAAGCACGTCAAAGTGCAAGTAGATAAATAGGTACTGCTCCGGCGGGAAGGTAAATGATGTTTCCGTGCGCTGCTCTGGTTTCGCCAGAAGCGGCTTAGTCATGCTGGCCACATGACCTGGAAGCTGAACGCCGGCTCCCTTGGCCAATAAAGCGAGATGAGCGCCGCAACCCCAGAGTCGGCCACGACTGGACCTAATGGTCAGGGGTCCCTTTACCTTTACCTAATGGATATTTGCTCAAAACCTTGCCCAACAGTAAATCTCACCCTGATCTGAACCACAAAGTTGTTGTTTGGCAGAAAACCCATGTATGATATTCATTCGTTCTGACTTACTCTAACAGGATGGTTGTTGAGGGGAAAAGCCCAACTCTGCTAATCACTCACTCTGACTGCAAGGTTGCTGTTCTGGGCAAATCATATTTGCTAATCATCTGGCCTACCCAACAAGGTTGTTGTTGGACAGAAACCCATCTGTGTTAACCTGAGTTTTTGAGAGGGAAAGCGGGGTGCATCCTTTTGCTCTCACCAAGTCCCGGACCCAATTTTTTTCTTGCCACAGCTGCTATCAGCGAAAGAGCACATCACTCTTCAGTAAATTAACAGCAGGCAGAGCTTTGCTCAAAGAAAGGAGACGTCCTGTGATAACTTAGGCCAGAGGTAGCTAAGGTGTATTCCAGGTGCTGTTAAACTACAAGTTCCATCAGCCCCAGACGGCATGGCTAATGGGTAGGGGTGATGGGAACTGTAGTCCAGTGACTTCTGGAAGGCTAGAGGGCTCCTGGGCGGGACGCGGGTGGCACTGTGGGTTAAACCACAGAGCCTAGGACTTGCCGATCAGAAGGTCGGCGGTTCGAATCCCCGCGATGGGTTGAGCTCCCATTGCTCAGTCCCTGCTCCTGCCAACCTAGCAGTTCGAAAGCACGTCAAAGTGCAAGTAGAAGTAGCATGCAGAAGGCCCCTGGTTCAGTCCCTGGCATCTCCAGGTATGCTGGGATAAAAAGGTAAAGGGACCCCTGACCATTAGGTCCAGTCGTGACCGACTCTGGGGTTGCAGCGTTCATTTTGCTTTATTGGCTGAGGGAGCCGGCGTACAGCTTCCGGGTCATGTGGCCAGCATGACTAAGCCGCTTCTGGCGAATCAGAGCAGCGCACGGAAACACCGTTTACCTTCCTGCCGGAGTGGTACCTATTTATCTACTTGCACTTTGACGTGCTTTCAAACTGCTAGGTTTGCAGGAGCAGAGACTGAGCAACAGGAGCTCACCCCGTCGCGGGGATTCAAACCTCCAACCTTCTGATCGGCAAGTTCTAGGCTCTGTGGTTTAACCCACAGCACCACCCGCGTCCCTAGTACTGGGATAGGACCCTGTAAAAATCCCAGAGGGCTGCTGTCAGTCAGTGTAGACACTATAGAGCTAGGTAGGCCAATGATCCAACTCTGGTCAAGTTATCCCTCTATAAAAGTAATATTTCATTTCCTCTGGTCCTTTGTCCCCTTTTAAACTGGCATTGGGGAGAAGGTTGCCCCATATAATGGACAGGGGGGGAGGATTCTCCTTTATGGAAAAAAATAGGAGGATTAAGCAAATAAGAGAGCCAGGGAAGTATAGCAGTTAAGAATGTTGGGCTAGGACCAGAGACCTAGGTTCAAATTTCCACTCAGCAAAGAAGCGCATTGGACCAGTTGTTCTCTCTCAGCCTTGCCTACCTTGCAAGGTTGTTACAAAGATGAAATGAAAAGCGTGTTTAATGCCTTGGACTCCTTGGGAGAAATGGAGGGGTATAAATGTAGTGAATAAAGAAAATCAATAAGGACGGTGGAAAGGTGCCTTTTCCCAAGTCAAACCATTAGTCTAGCACAGTATTGCCTACACTGACTGGCAGCAGCTCTCCAGGGATTCAGACAGGGGAGACTCCTAGCCGTACATGCAGATGCCAGGGACCAAAACTCGGGTGCAAGGTGTTCTAACCACCAAACTATGACCCTCCCCTTACACTGGAAGCCACATTATGCAAAATTAAACTCTTGGTCCATCTAGCTCAGTATTGCCCACGCTGACTGGCAGTGGCTCTTCTGGAGTCTCTCCCAGCCTTACCTGGAGAAGCCAAAGATTGAACCTGGGACCTTCTGCATCAAAGAGATGCTCTGCCACTGAGCTATGGCTCCTCCCTCTGCTTTATTTGCAGATTAAATAAATAACTGGAATTTTAGGAATTAGAGAAAGCAAAACACGCTAGCCTAGCAGCTGGCCCGTCGCTCCAGCCATCCTTAGGGCCATTTGCCCCTCTACCCGCCTAACCCAATTCCCCCTTCCCTACCTGGCTGACTGGGGTGGGGGTTCAGCTCTGCCAAAGGGGGGACGCGACAGAGGTTGGCACCCACGTCCAACAGAGCCAAGCTTGCTCATCTAGTCTTCTCTTGTTTCCCCACTTGGGCCTGGGCTGGGAGGGATGAGATGGAGCTTTCCTCCCCTCCCTCTTTGATTCCAGGTTGTTGAGAGGGGGGTGTTTCCCCCAATGCGTTGCTTTTTTAACCCTTCCCTGGCATTCTTGGAAGGGGATGGCCAGGAGGAAAGGCGCCTTTTCGCTCTGAGCAGGCGGGAAGGCAGAGAAAGAGAGGCAGAGGGGGAAAGATGGGGAGGAGACTCACGGAGGTCCTCAAGGCAACTCTCCCACCTACATCGCCCACACCCAAACTAACCTACGGCAAGCATCTTTTCATTGTTGCAGAGAAACTAACTTCTCCATTCCCATGTTCATTGACAAACAGGCACGATCCCAGCTCTGGTCTCTTCAGAAGTTAGTCCTGTGGATGAGGACCGTTGCAGCTCTTACGAATCCTGCTCAGAGTAAACCCATTGAAGTTAATGGGCATGCTTAATTTAATTTCAGTGGGTCTGCTCTGACTGGAAATTGGTTGGATGCAACCCTAGGGCTGCTGCAATCCTAACCCCACACATTCCTAGGAATAAACCCAACTGAATTAAATGCGGTTTACTTCTGCGCAGATGTGGTTAGAATCTCCCTTCTAATGCTGGCGTCAGTCTGATATCACCTTGTTAAATATCCCGTTGGTTGCATTCGGCGGGTTTTAGACAATGTTAGTCTTACACATTGAGTGCAGCCATGTAAAATGACAGCCATGGTAACTAAGGCCCCTTAATAGGTTTAACTCTCTGTAGCACTTAGCTAGATACATCTCAGTGAGACTTACTTTTGAACCATGGGTGGGGTTGCATTTCACTCTATGTCAAATAGGTAATTCAGCTTGACAACTGTCACTCAAAGTGGGCACTTGGGTATCTGCAAGAATTTTTTCGTTGTGGTGGGGGGCAGGTTAATTTCTCAACCCCCCCCCCCCCAATTTTTTTTGAGAAGAATCGTGCTTGCATATTTTGCATTCTACAAATGCCAAAAACTTTTTTTTTAAGATGGAGGGCGGATCTGGAAATTATGGTTCATGGGTGGGTAGAGGGGGTGCCCTCCTTGCACCCCGTGGACGCTCATGGCCAGATACCTCACAAACACACGTGCCAAGCAGGACAGCAGCAAAAGGAGAAAATGGTCTCCTCTTCTGGGGTTTCTGTTTGCGAATTCATGAACTGGGGACCTTCCTTTCCGCGCCATTTATACCTCACGCTCGTTTCAAATTTGGAGGCGGCTCAGGAACAACAGAATCCGAAGCGTCTGACTGCACCCAACATAACCGGGTGGTGGTAGTGGTGGGGTTTTGGTTTTTTTAGGGGGAGCAGGATTTTAGACATCGTATTGACAAATCGAGGCTGCAATCCTAACCCCACTTCCCGATTGGATACAATACGGCTTACTTCTGAGTAGGCACTGTTTGCATTGCACTCCAAGGGAAAAAAATGCTATCATGTAGGTTGAACGACACCCGATGTTTATATATATATGGCCAAAGGGATCTGTTTACATTGATCTCTGCGATCATGCCATCCTCCTGTTCCTGATCCCATCTCATTTCTTTCCGCGCGCGCGCGCGTCCACATCACGGACTTTCCTGCAGCACCTGCCCGTGCTTGCTTCTCAAATCGCAAAAGATTCTCCCCTCCAATTTTCATCATTATAAATTATTTAAAAAAGTTACCTTACCCTTCCCCAGTTCCAACTCTTTAAAAAAGGCATGGAGGTCCATCTTTTATCATGGCAATTTATTACGATGCTCGACTCGCCCTCTTGCAAACTAACACACACACACAGAGAGACACACCAACCCACTCCTCCTCCTGGGAATTTTCTTTTAAACATTTCCCCAATGGTTGAATAGCAGTCGAGCGTTGTGGTTTTTTATTTTATTTTTTAAAGCACAGAAGAAACGAAAATGCACACAGATTTGTTTGTTTTTAAACAAACGGATCATATATATATATATATATATATATATATATATATATATATATATAAAACAAAACACGCCACTGTTAATGGGGACCCCTCACCAATCAGGCCATATATAAATATAGATATAGATGTGAATGTACCTTTTCGGAAATTGCTCCGGGATGGCAGGCGGTTTTGCAGCTTGCTGCAGATTCCTGGTGGATCCCTTCCTTTGTGGGTGTTTTTGAGGGTGTTTCCCCCCTTCTTCCTGGGTGTTCATTTGTTGTTTATTTGAGCTTATTATAGAGGCGGGTGGAGGGGGTGGGCGGCAGTTGCCTAACTCAGCCAGCGCTGGTCGTGTGTCAAATTAGCCTGTGCGCCGAATGAACCCGCAGCCAGAGAGCGCAGAGCCCCGTGTGAATGCAAAAATAAATAAATTGGGAGGGGCGGCCAAGTGAGATTCGAGACATCAACAAAAACAGCAACGCGGGGGGAATCTGTGCGCCAGGGGTTTCTTTCCTTTTGAAAGCAGCAACAGCGCAAGCAGGGCCGAAATGGCAGGCAGAAATGTTTCAAGCTAGCTACGTATTCTGCTAAAGGGGATTCCTGGACCCTGCTGCAAGGATCAATCCGAATCAAAGGGTCTCCCACACCAGGTGTAAACGGGGCAAGGGTCCTTAGGACGGCGGAGCGAATCCGATGCGTACGGTCGGTGGCGGCTCTGGCCTCCAAGTTCGCGTGTGGCCAGCTAAGTCCTGCTTAGAGTAGACCCACTGAAATTAATGAAGCTGTTACTCATGTCCAAACGGTCTGCTCTGAGGAGGACTAGCATCGGGTGGATTGCCGTTCGTTCTGTATTAAATCGTATTATTCCCACTAAGATGCTGCTTTTAAAGTTGTTATATTTTATCCACTCCTTCAGGTGACTTATATACCTTTGTACAGGCCGCAAGGCGGTTTGCAGTAATACACGAAATCTTTTTAAAAACAAACAAACAAAAGCAAAACGACAGCCCATTAAAAATCACTGGTTATGGTTATTTAGTAAGTCATAACTAGTAATAATGTCAAGCCCCTGGTAGAACGCTTAATGAAAAGGTGAGACTCTGGTCCTGTCAATATTTTATCCATATTTAGATGTTCTTCTTTTTTTGCAGCTTCTTCAACCTGGTGCTCTCGAAATGTTGCTGGACTACAATTCCCATGAGCAGGTGCTGGCAGGGGGATGGTGGGAGTTGTAGTTCAAATGGCATCTGGAGGGCACCAGGTTGGCAAGGCTGTTTTAATGCACGTGCTCCTCCTTCGGGGCCCTGATGTGGCCAAAGAGGAGCAGAAATCCCGGAACAGATAGCAAAACGAATAGAATAACAACAACAATTTTGAATGGGAACGCACTTTTCAGAATGCAGCTTTAATTCAGAAATAAACCTGACCCACTTAACTCATTGGATTTGCACGCGAGAAGTGCTCTATAAAAATTTGCAGGAGGGTGGCAGAACCCAATTTTCTCCCGGACAAAGAAAGAAAATGAACTACTCAAAGCCCTCCAACCCCGTTTTACTTGGGAGTAAAAGCCATTGAACTCGATGGACTTAATTCTGAGTAGTCGTGATTTCACGGTTGAACTTCCTGTAATGGGATCTCATTATTTCTCAAACTGTCCTTTCGAAAGAACAGCAGCAACAATAGTAATAACACGAAATAAATAGTAAAATATCACCACTAACGTCGAGGCTCATCATTCAGAACCTATTTTGGTAAGGCAGGCGCCCCGGAACAACGAGAAAGCAACAAACAGGACCTCTGACCATACACAAAAGGCCCCTCTCCGCTAAACAGCCCCTCCTACCCACGGATGTGGAGAATCCGATGCAGTCACAGCCGTGCCATTTCAGCAGAAGGTGAGCTCTCCCATTTGATTCAATGGAGCCCTATACACGTCTGTTCAAAACAAAGTCCCATTGAGTTCAATGGGACTTGTTTCCGGTGTTTATAGGCATCGCTAAAGCCCGGTTGGCTTCTGGCCCTGCAGTTGGGATGATATCGTGGAAGTGCCTGGCTGAAGCCACAACCAGCCTGGTTGGTGTCCCACCCTCAGATTTCCCCGCGACTCCAACATCCATAGCCCCTAACCACTGATCATGCTGGCTGGGACTGATGAGGGTTGAAAAACCAACAACATCTGGGGAGAAGCAGGTTCCCCAGCTCCGATTTGGACCGTCACTTGGCTTGGCTGCCCCTCAGTTGCCTCCATCACTATCTAAGAGGGAGAGTACAAGCGAGGCGTCCCTGTGAATGGTCAAGGATGCGGTTTCGCTGCAAAGCTATTAATAAGGCACTTAGGAGATATGTTTGAGGCATATCACTTAATTCATCTGAGTAGTTTTCTATTTTTCTAGATAAATTTTTAGATATCATTATGACTGCCATGCAATTCTTAGCTTATTTATTAGCTGCTGTTTATTTAACGTTGTTAATATTGTTGCATAGCTCATAAATCATATAATACGTCTTCAGCTGTGATTGGGATGCTTAGCTTATTTTTTTTTTTTAGTTGCTGCTGTGTTGTTTTACTGTTGATTTGTTATTTTGTATGATTACGTTATACGATTCACTCCGTTGTTATTTATTATTTGTAATCCGCTTTAGGCTTCATTTGAATGAAAAGCAGCATTGGAAATACAATCAATCAATATAGGCATAACTTTATTACATATGCACTCAGCAAAGACTTAAAAAAAACACACACAAAGGGAATAATATGGACATTTAGAGGCTTTAATGTATGTAACATGAACTCTGGGACTTTTATCACTTGAGGATGTCATGATGTGCCTTGTATAATGCCCTGGTCCGGTCCTACTCAGAGTAGAACCATTGAAATTAATGGACTGAAGCTCGTCATAGACTAGAACTCAATAGGCCAGGCATGTCCAAAATCCGTTTTGGGGGCCTAATCCGGCCCGCCGGTCGGTTTAATCCGGCCCCTGTGGCAGTTTATTTCCTGGGGTAAAATCCTAAAAAAAAACCTCTCAACAACTCCAACCCTAAAAAAAGCAACTTTGATCGGCCCTTTGGTCGGCCCTCAGGGCCCTTCACTTCATCAAATCTGGCCCTCTTTGAAAAAAGTTTGGACAGCAATGCATAGGCACACCGACCTAACCCCAAAGGAAGAAATACACACACACGTGGCGTCAGGAAGATGTGAGTTCACATACCTGCAGCACAGCAGAGTACCGGCTATCATGGGCGTGGGGGGGGGCAGATGCCCCCATCAATATAAATAAATAAAAATTCATTGCTAACTGAGGTTCTCCACCGCACCCCCAAAAACCAAAAGGCCTGCACCCCCTAACAAAAAAAATATTGGCTACGCCCTTGTCGGCTTTGCACGCATTACCTGGGAGGAAGTGCCATTGATTTCGGCGGGACTTACTTCCGAGTAATGGGAAAAAGGAAGGTATAAACCCCATCGACTTCCTTTCTTTTCTCTAATAAATATTTATAGCCTACCTTTTTCGATTAAAAAAAGAGAGAGAAGCCTCTCTCATTTTTGCGAACGCTTTATTTATTTATTTATTTATGCATGCATGCATGCATACATGCATGCATGCATGCAAAGCTGGCTCAGCCTCAGTCTGGTTGCAATCCTACGCGCCCACTTCCCTGGGAGTAAACCTCCCTGAATGTAGGACTTCCAAGAAAACATACACAGGACTGAAAAGCGAGTTTACCCTAAGAATCAGATCCAGATTGCGGATGCATGATCGGAGCAAATCGGACGGAGAGAGGAGAGGAGAGAGGGTGGGAGGAAGGGAGAAGGAAATTTTTGTCTGGGTTTTAAATTGTATTTGGGAATTAAAGGGCGACGAATGGAGTGGTGTGTGAGAGAAAGAGAGAGAGAAAGAAATAGCTGGGGGCGGAGCAGCTCTGTTTGCCCAGATGATCGTTAAGAAGGTGGCGCGCTCTTTCCCGGGAATTGCTTGTGTTTTTTTCTGTTTGCTGAGCGGGAAAGCAGGGCAGCGTTTCTCCATTAGGAAAATAACTGGCAGAGGTTTAACGGGGAGGGGGCATTCCAATCCCTGCCTGGAGACTGCATCTGAGACCTTCTTCTGCATGCAACGTACCACATAGAACTAGAAGGCTGGGTCCATTAAGCTCAGTATTGTGTACTACACTGACTGGCAGGTTTCAGACCAGAGACATTCCCAGCCCTGTCTGGATATACCAGGGATCGAACCTGCGATCTGTTGCACGAAAAATAGATGCTTTACCACTGAGTTATGGCTCTCCCCTGAAAACCTAATTAGGAACCCAGAAAACTGCTTGATATTGAGTCACAATTTTGGTCCATCTAGCTTGGTAGTGTCTACACTGACTGGCAGCAGCTTTGCAGGGTTTCAGACAGGAGACATTCCCAGCTCTGTTCAGAGACATCGGGAGCTTCTACCTGCAAAGTTGACGCTGTGGTTCTTGATGAAATGCAGTTTAAACAGGAACAGAGGAAGCTGCCGAATCAGAGCAGGGGTCCAGCTAGCTCTATATTTCCTACACAGACTGGAAGCAGCTTTCTGGGTTTTCAGGAAAGAGTCCTCCAGCCCTTTCTGGAATTGTCCGGGATTGAACCTGGGAAGTTTTGCATGCAAAACAAATGCTCTACCACAAAGCTACAGCCCTTGTTTGAATTGCCATTGAGTGGATTTTATCTGTTTATGGCTGAAACGTCATATTATTCATTTAATTTATTTATTGCATTTCTACCCTACCCTTTTCTCCATACAGCTCAAGGTGGGATACATCATTTGTCCCCCAAATATCTGAAGAGCTGCCCATGGAAGATGGAGCAAGCTTGTTTGCTACTGCTACAGAGGGTGGGGCCCAAACCAATGGATTCAAAGGACAAGAAAGAAGGAGATCCCGACTAAACATTAGGAAGAATGTCCTGATGTTAAGAGCTGTTTGACAGTGGGAAGGACTTCCTTGGAAGGTGGGGCACTCTCCTTCATTTGAGGTTTTTAAACAGAGGTCAGAATCATAGAATCACAGCATTGTAATAATAATAATAATAATAATAATAATAATAATAATTTATTATTTATACCCTGCCCATCTGGCTGGGCTTCCCCAGCCACTCTGGGCGGCTTCCAAAAAATATTAAAATACTGTAATACATCAAACATTAAAAGCTTCCCTAAAAAGGGAGTAGTGTTGGAAGGGACCACCCGGGTCACCTGGTCCAAGCCCCTGCAGTGTAGGAATATTTTGCCCAATGTGGGGCTCGAACCCATGACCCTTCTTGGGTGGCCACCTTTAGGTGCAATTCCTGCACTGCAGAGGATTAGATGACCCTTGAGGTCCCTTCCAACTCTTACCATTGTCGTAGGCCATGGACTATGATTTTGTGGTTTAGTCATAAAACTCTGCAAAATGAGCTAGACTAAGAAGCAGAGACTGCCCCCCCCCAAGATCACCCAGGAAGCTTCATGCCCGGGTGGGGTGATTTGAACCCTGGTCTCTCTCCCGGATCTGATTCTCTAACCCATGGGTAGGCAAACTAAGGCCCAGGGGCCCTATCCGGCACAATCACCTTCAAAATCTGGCCCGCGGACAGTCTGGGGATAAGCGTGTTTTTACATGAGTGGAATGTGTCCTTTTATTTAAAATGCACCTCTGGGTTATTTGTGGGGCCTGCCTGGTGTTTTTACATGAGTAGAATGTGTGCTTTGATTTAAAATGCATCTCTGGGTTATTTGTGGGGCATAGGAATTCGTTCATCCCCCCCCCCAAAAAAATATAGTTCGGCCCTCCACAAGGTCTGAGGGACAGTGGACCGGCCCCCTGCTGAAAAAGATTGCTGACCCCCAGTATACTGCTTTCTACATGACTTTTGTTTTATTTGCTTGAACACAGAGATATATATCTATATCTAGATATAGTATTATATAGTATAGCTAGATATATTTATACATATATATATAATATTCATACACACACACACATCTATCTATCTATCTATCTATCTATCTATCTATCTATCTCCCCTACTGGCCTAGTGGAATCTTCATTATCATCAACAATAAAAGCAGCGTCCCCTTCTCCGCAAGCCGGCCAGCTGACAACTCCTTGGCCGAGCTTCCTAGCTAGCTTCCTAGCTCGAGAGTCACCGCACCCTGCAGAACTACACCTCCCAGCGTGCCTCGCGGCCTCCTCCCCACCCCATACCTTTTCCGGAAGGGAGCGGATAACTGTTTCCGGCCCGGGAAGAGCCGGTTGATTGGCGGGCGGCTTTGAAGCGGGCGCGAGGCCGCCTCTTCGCCTCGGCAGCTGCGCCTCCCCCTCCCCCACCCCATTCCACCGCCCACCCCACCGAGAGAGAGAGGGAGGGGGCTCGGTTTTTGGGGTGGTGGTGGTCTTACCCGCTCTGTCAGTGAGTGGGCAGCGGGGGCGCCCTACAAATCAGCTCCCTTTGCTCAGAAGGGTGGCTGGGTGGGTGGGTCACCTCTCTCCCTTTATTATTCTCTCTTTTTTGGGGGGGGGCCCAGTTTCTTCCTCACTTCAAAGACCAAATCTCCCTCCCCCTCCCCTTTTTAAAATTGTGGATAATTTCCTAAGTGTGTGGGTCACACACCCCGCTTGTGTTTTGAGGCTGGGAGTCCCTTTCTCTCTTCCTCCACTCTTTTCTTTCAGGGGGGCAAATTATTCCCTTGAAATTTTTAAGGGGCGGCATCTTTTCTTCTGAGGTGTATTCCCGCCCTACCCCGTTTTTCTATATTCCTTTTTTTGCGTGGGTTAAGGGTCGTTTGTACCTCCTTCCTTTACTTCAGGGGACAGTTCTTTGGCATCCCTTGAGACCTTAAGAGTTGCATTCAACACTTTTGAGGAGGACCTCTCCCCTGTTTTCTTTTATTGGGGATAATGATTTATATTATATATCTGCCAGGTTGTGTTTTTTTTGGCGGGGCTGTCATCCACTCCTTCCTTGGGGTCCTCCGCTTACTCAAATTGTCACCCCCCTCCATCTCCTAGACGTTGATGGGCAGCACCTTCTCCTTTGAGGCTGTGTTTTTATTTTGAAAATTTCTTTCCCTCTGTATGTGTCCCCCTCCCCTGCTTTCTGAGACTTCTCAAAATACAGCATCCTGTGGGCAAGTCTCTACTATTTCCCAATGCTGGGGTAGTTCATATCACCCCTTCACCCACATTCATACACATTTCTTTATGGGAAGTGGCATCTTTCCCAGTATCTGCTGGATATCTCCTCCACTCCACTTCCTAGGACAGCCCTTACACTGAACTGTTGCTCTCTGCTTGGAGCAAAACTGTAATGTGAAAACTCCCTGTTCCTTAGCCTCTACAACAAGGTAGACGAACAGGCCTTTTGCCCTTGGGAGACTAGATTTGGTCCTGCTCATTCGCTAGGCTCCCCTTTTCCCTTGTTATTTGGTCAACATGAATTTCTCCGAGGTATTTAAACTCTCCAGTCAGTTGTGCAGGTTCTCTCCGGATGGAAAATGCTTGGTGAGCTTAGCATTGTGGTGTGCCGTGTGTATCTATTTTATAGATAATGGGTTGGTGGGGGGCAAGGACGAAGAGTGGGCGGACAGGGGGGTTGAATGTGGATTCAGGGAAGGAATGGGAGATGTGGGGACCAGGGGTGGTTTTGATATTTGATGACAATACACATGATTTCCTTGTTCTAACTCAGTTTTATGTTGGGACAGTCTTAGCCAAACAGTATCTGATTTCTGCTGAGGAGAGCAGCATCCATAAAATGAGCCTTTCCACCTAGTTAGCAACCTTGCATGACATTTGCCCATTAAATTCTTAACTGTTTTTAAATGACACCAGGAAATCTCTTCCCAGAAGATGTGCATAGTAATATCAAATTATAAATTGGCTGTGATTTTAAATAACAATAATTTCAATCAGCGCCACCTCTGAGCCCTCTTCTCTTTCCTACTTAATGTGTCTTGTCTTTTAATTTATAAGCTTTTATTGCTATGTTTGGTTCGTAGTTCTAACAACCTGGATTATGATGATGTGAAATCTTTGCCTTGTAGTATATCTGCAGAAGTGCACGATTACTGCGACATTAGTATGCAGAACTGGTGTAGCTGTTTAGAGCTGCAGTCCTGTGCATTTCTTCTTCGAGTGTCAACCCCACTGATCTATTGAAGTGCCACCAGTTTGGTTTAAATGAACAATTTTGGGTTCCTCTCTCCCCCACCTGCACTTCTTCTTTTGTAGCAAACCATGGTTTGCCCTGTTCAGATGAAATGACAAACAATGGTTTGCCAAGGACGAGGAAGTTCAAGAGGAGGAGGAGTGCATAAACCGAAGGTTTTCAGATATAAAAGGGGAGGGGGCTTCTTCACCTGTAATAGTTACATAGAAAAGGGAGCTTCAGCAACTGAAGCTTGTGTGATCAGTTAAAGTTGGAGAAGCCGCCGCACTTATTTCATTGGTTGTCCTGCATAGGCCTAAGGATAGTTTCTGTGTCATTGGCTGAAGTTACATGTGAACCAAGCTATGTGTATGGGGGTAGAGACTTCCACTGAAGCCATCAGGAGAGCGTCATTAACTACGAACCAGACCAAGTTGGCTTTCTGGGGGATACCTATGTCCCCTGGTTTTAGGGGACTTAACAAAATGTGTGATTCACCCTACAAAACCCTGCTAAATGACTACAAAACCCTACAAAGGTTTGGGAGCGGACTCTAAATTTCAGGGCTTGTAGTTACTGAAGCTCATATACCTATAAACGGCTTAGTCATGCTGGCCACATGACCCGAAAGCTGTCTGCGGACAAACGCCGGCTCCCTTGGCCTATAGAGCGAGATGAGCGCGCAACCCCAGAGTCGGTCACGGCTGGACCTAATGGTCAGGGGTCTCTTTACCTTTACCTTTAAGCACCTATATTAATTTGTAAAACAGGTACATTTAATATATTAATTGGCAATTGACAAATCAGTTATTCTTACTGCATGACAGGCCTGCGGTATGTCATCAGTCTATATTTTGTAGAGCTTTCATTTTATTCTACAGTTTTTCTGATGGTTTCTCCTGTCTCTAATACTAGAGGATTTAGGAATCACATCTGAAATAATTTTGCCCCCTGTCACTGAGCTAAAATGCCACAGCTAAGTTATTCATTTTTTGTTCTATTCAGGCCTCCGGTGTCCAGTATCGTTTGGTGGTTCGTGATGTAAACACTCTCCAAATTCTGCAGCTCTTCACCTGCCTAGACCAAATCCAGCACATTGAGTGGTCTTCAGATTCTCTTTTTATATTATGTGCAATGTACAAGCGTGGAATTGTGCAGGTGGGCACCTATGCAATATGCTTTCTTTTCTGGAACTTGCCAGTTTCTAAACTGATGGTGTTAAGCAGCAAGTATTTAATATAGGTGCTGAGGAAACAAATGCACTTTACCTACAGAATGCCCCCAAGTTCAAACTGGCATCTTTAGATAGGGATGGGAGAGTCTTCTTGAAACCATGGAAAGCCTCTACCAGCTAGTGTGGTTGTACCATTGGCCTGACCTTGTTTAAAGCAGCTTCCTATTAATATCAGGTCTTTATTCAGAAACATGAGGACTAGAATTTTTAATGTTTAGGGGAAGGACCATATCTCAGTGGCAGAGCATCTCTGTTTTGCATGCAGAAGATCCCAAGTCCAACCACTGACATCTCCAGGTAGGGCTGAGAGAGACTTCTCCCTGAAATCCTGTATTGCTGCTCCCAGTCACTATAGACAGTACTGAGCTAGGTTGAAAAGAGCATGTCTTTTCCAGGAACAAACAAACCGCAGAACTACGTCCCCTGATGCAAAAAAGTAGCTTTAGGGTTTTGCTAGTTTCTGAAAGAAGCAGAGCTGCTGTCAGTCCTGTGGACAATGACTGAGCTGGGCAGCTGGGTTAAGGACCCAGCTGATTTCTAGCCTTGCTTAGTACCATCATTTACAAACTGGGAATAGCAGTGGTGGACCATCAAAGTGATGCTTAGCAAAGCAGACTTGAAAGTAATTTCACCAAACTTCCTAGCTCATACATTTTATTTTAATGGCTCACATGGACTTATTGAGACAACATCATGCTTAATGAAAGACCAGTTATAAAATTTCCCTCCCTGGTCGCCTGGAGGTGATTCATGTTTGCCACAGGCAACTTGGTAAGTGTGAGCCTGTTGTGAAGCACTTTGCATCTGAAAAGCACCATATAAATAGGACAGTATGTAAATTTAATAAACAAAAAATAATTTAAGCAAACCCTTTCAGTTTTTTGAAATTTTAATGTGTGGTGGGTCTTTAATAATATCAGAGCTCTGTGACATCTTTAAAGTAAAAAATTTATACAGTCATACCTCGGGTTACAGACGCTTCAGGTTGCTCATTCTTGGGTTGCGCATCGCGCCGAACCCGGAAGTACCGGAATGGGTTACTTCTGGGTTTTGGCACTCGCGCATGCGCAAAAGCACTAAATCACGCTTTGCACATGCGCAGAAGCGCCGAATCGCAACCCATGCGTGCGCAGACGCGGCGCTGCAGGTTGCGAACGCTGTGGGTTGCGAATGTGCCTCCTGCACGGATCATGTTCGCAACCCGAGTGTCCACTGTATTGTGGTCCAGATCTCTTAAAGACAGTCACCATCTTTACTGGAGGCCTATACAATTCTGTACCACAACAAACCTCTTGATCTTTACAGACACTCTTTTGGAATAGTTTTGTGGATCTAACCGGATGTAAAGAAGAAGAAGAAGAAAAGGCTTACCTCTGTAGTGGGATCCAGCGCCAGTCTTTCATGGTCTTTTGCTGGTGGGCTTGTCTTTTTCTGTTGAAGAGTGAGCCTTGAGAGGAAGCTGGTAGGGCTTTGGGTGCCTTGCTCAAGTCAGCGCTGACTTGACTGTTCTTCCTCCCTTGGCTTAGGTCTGGTCCTTGGAGCAGCCTGATTGGCACTGCAAGATCGATGAAGGCTCAGCGGGACTCGTGGCTTCTTGCTGGAGTCCGGATGGCCGTCACATTCTCAATACTACAGAGTTCCACGTAAGTGTGAAATTGGGGCTGCTCTTGTAAGATATCAAATGTTACTGTCTACATCCTAGCCCCTAAAATAGCCTGAAGCTCTTAAAGCTGCAGTGTGCTGCTAAGTTGTACTTGTGGGACCTTTTTTTAAAAAAAGTGTGGCTGCATGTTTAAGGAAAAGCTCCTTTAATGTTCTTTGCAGGAGAATACAACAAAGAAAGGTAACAAGTCTCAGATTTTAGTCACATAATCTTGGGTATATAAGGAATCATAAACATTATCTCCAGCTCTCCTGAGGACTGATGCGTTGTTTAGTAGCCAAGAACAGGATTGGTTAGCCATGAAGTCTTTGTTTCCTTGTTCACCACCACTAATTTAATTAAACCACTATCTCAGCCACTTTTTTTTTTTTTTTTTTGCATTTATGTGCATGTTACTGAGCTACCTCACAGGTAAGGACTATTGAGGTGATTGATGCATATGGACACTTCAAAGCAATATACAAATTAGAATTGGAATTATTCTCCCACTGATATTTTTAATATGGCACAGTAGCTTGAGATGGCTTTGTGCAGGTCACCATGCACATGGTGAACCTTGCCCTGCCTTAACACATGTCAGAAAATACGGGGTCATTTCCTTACCTAATCTCGGGTAAAGCTTATTTCCATCTTCAAATATGCAGTCAGTTAGATGGATGTGTGAAGTGAAGGCCTGTTGTGGAGTCTCTGCTTTGGACTGTCCCTGATTCCCCAAATGTGGAAATGTTTCAAAATCAAAGGAAGAGAGAGAGAACACCTTTCTGTTTTTCTTATTGAGTGAATTGAAGGGCTAGTTTGTGAAGGATATCCCCCCCCCCATGTTGCATTAGAGCCCATCGGATGCTTTTCCTCAATTGTAATAACTACCCAGGTGTGGAAATAACTGTTGCTGGTTCAGTAAATAAAAGAATAATAGAATCATAGATGATGGCACGCATAGAGCCACTCTCTCTAGAATGTGAGAGCTCTTCTGGATCAGATCAAAGGCCCATCTATCCCAGCATCCAGGTCCCCACCATGGTCAGTCCTATGTGCATGACAATCCCACAAGCAGGATATGAGGGCAGTAGCCCTCATAAGAGCATAAGAAGAGCCTGCTGGATCAGATCAATGGCCCATCTTATCCATCATCATGTTCTCACAGCTCAACCAGATACTTGTGGGAAATTGCAAGCTGGACCTGAGTGCAAGAGCACTGCCACGTCCTGTGGATTCCAGCACCTGGTACAGTAAGCTCACAACTTGTGTGGGAGTTACATTCTGGGGATCAAGTCTAAAGCCAAAATCACGTACAGTGGTACCTCGGGTTAAGAACTTAATTCGTTCCGGAAGTCCGTTCTTAACCTGAAACTGTTCTTAACCTGAAGCACCACTTTAGCTAATGGGGCCTCCCGCTGCTGCCGCTCCGCCGGAGCACAATTTCTGTTCTCATCCTGAAGCAAAGTTCTTAACCCGAGGTACTATTTCTGGGTTAGTGGAGTCTGTAACCTGAAGCATATGTAACCTGAAGTGTCTGTAACCTGAGGTACCACTGTATATTCAAAACCCACTGGGTTCAATGGGGGATTGGATTGCCCAAGTCATTTCCCCTCAGAACCCAGCCCCCTTTCCACCCCCTTTGTCACGCGCATAAAGCTCAGTGTGCACAAGTTAAATGTGCGTAAGTTGGGGGCTTACTGTATTCAGAAGCAGTATTGCCTCCAACCATGGAAGCCTCCATGAATTGGTGTAATTCTCCTTTAAAGCCATCCAAGTTGGTGGCCCTGCCTGTCTCCTGTGGGTGGTGAATTCCATAGTTTAACTATGCACTGCATGAAGAAGTGTTTTCTTTTATCTGTCCTGAATCTTTTAGCATCATCAGTTATCCATGAGTTCTAGTGTGATGTAAGTGAGAAAAACATTTCTCTTTCCACTTTTCCCAGGCCATGCATAGTTTTATAAACTTCCGTCATGCTACCTCTTAATTTTCCTTTTTGCAAACCAAGAAGTCCCGAATGCTACATCCTTTCCTCAAAGGGAAGTCGCTGCATCCCCTTGCTCATTTTGGTCTCTCCTGCTGCCAGTGCTCCCCACGTGCTTACAGTGCTTCACTCACATTTCTCAGCAATAATACCTTCTAGGTTTTTTTGTGGCAAGTAATCTCCCATAGTACAGGTGAATATTATCTTCATGGTGCAGGCTTATCCTCTCCCTGCATCTTTGCCAGTTCATCCGTTCGATCCATGGCTTTTCCGGGGCCATGTGGCAAAAAAGCAGGCACGAGACTTCACTGTATTGGATAGTTTTAATAGGGTGAAAACTATTCCAGTTATCCAGCTTCATTTTGTTAGTCAGATGCCTGGCTAACAACATCCCGAGGAATCGAAGATGGTGGGCTCCCTCTGCATACCTCTCACGGCTTCCAAATGGCACATGTACGTGGGGGCGGGCTGACAAGTTATTTATTACCCGCCATCAGAACTCCATTTGACCCTGCAGGATTTTCATTAAGCCCTTGCCAAGTTGGCATGTGTGTTTGGGATAGACTTTCTCCCCAGCTGTAAACAGGTTGCTAAATTAACTTGTGGCAGACAGCTGGCTGGGATATGTTGGTGTCTGCACTGTTTACTCTCTCAGGTCCTTTAAATCCATCGTCTGCCGGAGCAGACTGTGGACTAGTGTTTTGAGATGAGCACTTTAAGGATACATAATATCCTTGCATTGTGCACATTGCCCATTTCAGGGATCGCTTAGAAGGTTTTGCAAGTTATTCCTCAGCCGCCGCTGCTCACATTCAGAAGGCCGGGTTATGTCCGACACTAGTTCTGCTCAGAGTCAACCCATTGAAGTTAATGGACATAGTTTCGGAGTATAAACATAGTTGGCTCTGATCATGTTTCCATGTATTTTACTTATTTAATGCATCCTGACAATGGAGAGGCTCTGTGGTCCCATCTCTCTCTCTCTCTCTCTCTCTCTCTTTCTCCCCTGCAGCCTGATGACAGTTGAGGGAGGATCATGACCCAGTAGCCATTGATAGCCACCTCCTGCATATATTTGTCTAGTCCTATTTTAAAGCTGTCAGAGTTGGTGGCCACGGTAATGACTGGCAGGCATTGCAACTGGGAGGGGACTGGAATTCCTATTGCTGCTGGGTTTGTCCCTTCTGTTCACTCAGTTTTGTAGCCTTGGGAGGTTCCTGGGTTCCAGGTGTTGGTGCTGGAACATGGGAAGCTGCCTTGTACTGAGTCAGACCCCTGGTTCATCTAACTCAGTATTGTCTGCACTGACTGGCAGTGGTGCGCCAGGTTTTCATGCAGAAGTTTTCCCAAATCCTACTTGGAGATGCCGGGGCTTGAACCTGGTACCTGTTGCATGTAGATTAGGTGCTTTTAACCACTGAGCTACAGTCCTTCTCTTCCCGGTTTTGCCAGAAGTGGTTTCTACCAGCTTCATGGATAAAAGACTTGCTTTTGCATAGTGGTGTACACCTAGTGACCGTCATGTTTTACCTTCATTGATTTGAGGCTAGCCTACTGTATTAAACATTTTGCAGGACTACCATTCACAGGCTTCAGGTGATGCAAAAGACACTGATCCAGTGTCTTCTGATGGGAGAGGATTATTGAGAATAACTTGCACTGGGATTCAAATGTTGGCATTAGTTCCCTTTTGATTTCCAAGTGCCATTCAAGGAGCCCAGTGGCTTGAGCTTGACTAGGATGATGCTTAAGATTGGCTGGGAATGTTCCCTAAATGTGCCAAAACAGTCTGTAAGGGCCTGCAGCAAGGATATATTGTTGGCAGTGAAATTCTGTTTCTTTGCAGATTCAACTTCTGGAAGTATTGTAAGATTTTTTCTTTCTTTTCCAGACTGGCACCCAGTGGCCAGGGATAGTGTAGAGGAAGCCTGCAAACACTGTTGCCTAATGTGAGTTCTCTAAATGGGGTGGGCTGTAAGTCCAATAGATAGACAAGCTATTCATTATGAAACAGTTGCATGCAATTGTATTCACTTGGGTGTTTAGTCACCCGCTTCTATAACTGGGTTCACAACGGCAAGTCTTAACGTGCGGCAATAAATTGTATCTGAAAGATCATTTTCTGATTTGTCTCCTGGTAAGCTAATAGGACTGTAAAGAAGTGAAGAGTGTGTTAACAAGTTCCTTTTATGTGACTCTTGGATGATTTCTGGTAATGCTAGCTATTTTAAGAAGGCAAGTGATAGCATTGAGGAGAGTTTATATTCCTATGAGGTGCTGATTTTAAAGAGAGGCCCCTTATTTCTTACAGTGATATAGTTATTAAAGCTGTGAGTATTATTCAAATAGTTGTAGCTGATTGATGGGGGGGGTGAGAAGGGTTAACTTTTCCTTTATAAGGCTGAGGCATAAAAATGTCTGAAGTCCTCCAGATGTTGTTGGGTTGCATCTCCCATCATCCTCAGTCAGCATGGCTAACGGTCAAGCATACCATGAGTTGTAGTCCAACAACATCTCTAGGGAAAGCATGGGCTACCCTTGATTTAAACATTAAATTCCAATGCCCACTTAACTTCTAGCCGTTGAATGCCAGCCCAGACAAGAAAAGTCCTTAGAAAACATCTGGATGGTATTTTGCCATGAGCTTTAAGAGATTTTGGAAGTGCATTGCACAATGGTTGGGCAGCCACTGAGAACCAAATTATTGAGAAGCTGTTTGCTGACCAAAATATACATGTTATTGTTATAAGACATTTGTTTACTCCCATGCTTCTTCTAGACACCATGTAGAGCTGAGGAGTCAGCCACTCCTATTTATTTATCATGTTTTGTTTCCTATCCTTTCTCTAAGAAGCTGAAGCCAATATATAATGGGTTATCTAACCCATTTTTCCCTCACATCAACCTTGTGAGGTAGGTTGGGCTGAGAAGGTGGTACTGGCCAAGGCCATTTAGTAAGTTTCATGCTGAGCCCAGACCCCATTTCAGTCCAGCATTGTAATTCTCCTGCTACACACACACCTCTCTGTTATTTTGCAGGATGAGTGTGCACTTACAGTTGTATGATGCTTGTGTTTGCACACTAAAAATGCTCCAGGGTCGCTGCTTGACTCATTACCATTTGGAGCAATGTTTGTTCTCTGAACGACTGGAGGAGCTGCTAGCGGCAGTTTTCCCTCTTTCGGCGAATACTTGGGTGCACTGTCGCTCTAATCCTTAGTAACTGTAAATGGCTATATTGGTTGAAAAATACTTTCTGTCGAGGAATGTGTGCTGCGTAATCCCCTGAAATCCTGTGCTGACAGACACAGCTATGTAAGGAGGCCCAGTGACCTAGTCAAGTCTGGGACAAAAGTTGACAGTCACTTGAGAACGCAAGGTTGTTAAGCGTGGGTTTTGTGTAATGAAAATTGCCAGTCTTGCCACCTGCCTGGGGTTGTCAAAGCTTGGGTGCAGCTCCTTAGCCCAGCTCTTCAGACTGTTTTATCGCGTTACTGTCTAAATACCTCTTGTTTCTCAGCTGTTTTTAGGCTATTTGAAAAATGCTGCTTCTGCTTCTGCTTCGCCTCCCACCCTTCCCTGCCCTGTGCTGCAAAACAACAGCTGTATGCTCCTCAGGCACCTTAGCAGTAGGATGTGAGTTTGGAAATTTTAATTAAGTCCGTAACCCCCACATTTGGGGGTGGGGGTGGGCGGGAAGGAAAATCTGTTAGGGAAAAGCTGGCTAAAAGCCCCTGTAGTGGCATTTGCTGAGATTTGCACCCCTCCACACATTACAGTCTGTTGTTTAATTTCTCACTTTGTCGATCTCGTACATAAAAAGAAGGGTGACTAGTGAGAATCTCGTGGTGGTAGGTGTTGGGTGCCTAAATGCCTTGGCATTAATTATCTGTAATGCTGGAAGGTGGGAGCAGGTTGACTCATGAATTGTGGACGATCTGCCCGCTTGTTGTTCCTTATCACTGTAAGCAGAAGGGCTAAATACTTTTCTTTTAAAGTAAACATTCAGGGAAGCAGTGTTGGCACTGGAGCCCGGCCTGTTAGGGTAAGGTGACATAGCTCCACCAACCTCAGCCTTTCCTAATGCAGCTGCCACCTCACTTAGAGTCCAGAGGGTGGCACTGCCTATCACCTTCCTCCTCCTTAGCCTCAGTGTTGCTCCTTGCAGAACTCAACAGAGAGGAGGGTGGGAGCAAAACCAGAATTACTTGGCTCTGCCTGTCATCGGCTCGGGCTCCATTTTCTGTTGATCTGTCCTCCTTCCTCTCTGACTTATTCCAATGGGCATCGACCACCACTGGATGTTGGTAGAACTTCATGTCTCTGGAAGACCATTAGTCATTGCCCAAACTCCACTTCTGTCAGGTCCCAAAGGTGTACGTCTTCACTCAGACCTCTGGGTCTTCTTGAGGTTGCTGTTTAATTAGGTACGGGGAACATTCAGTTCGTAAAACAGTCTATGGGTGTGCTTTATCTTGCTGCAATGCTAAGGTCAATGTTTATGGTTCTGTTGTCCTGCAAAATCTGGAGAATATATTTTGGAAACTGCTCTGTAATTTTCTGAATGGTTTATAAATGGATCTAAGGGTATCAGATAAGTAGCAGGGGGCCATCCCTTATCACTACTTGTCTACAAATTTGCCTTTATCGTCGTGCACTTGCTTGCAGATAGGGCAGTCTTCAGCAACCTGCTGCCCTGCAGATGTTGGACTACAACTCCCATTGACAACCGGGGACGATGTGAGTTGTAGGTGAACAACATTCTTGAGGGCACAAAGTGGGTGAAGGCTGAGAAAGGGGATGCCTCTTTCCAGCCTAAATTTGAAATCACCTCTGTAGCTCCCTGATCATTCCTAGATTTTCTTGGGCAGTGCACTGCAATCTCTCTTCTGCTGAGATAGGCATTGTGTTGCTGTTTTGAAAGAAATATCTGGTGTCAGGAGTGTAGTCTGAAATTTATATTTTGGCATGACTGCAAACAAGCTGATGAGACGATGGTCTAAAAAGCCTTTCACTGGCTCAGACCCAGAATTAATCTTTCTTTTTTAATGGACATAGAAAATTATTGCTTGCTACCTTGTGATTAATGTTGCATTGCTGAGGGAAACTTCAAACTCGACTGAAAGTATGTGGATTGAAAGACTAGAGTAGGGATAAGGAACCTAAAGCGCAAAGGTCAAATATGGCCCTCCAACCTCTCTATCTGGCCCTTGGAACTCTAACTATGCCACACCTCTTTCTGAGCCACACCTCCTTTCCCCACACCACACCCTTCACTGGCCCTGCCTTACAGCCTCAGTTGAGTATTTTTGCCTGGCTTGAATGTGCCCTTGAACGCTAATAATTTATTTATTTATTTATCTCATAAAATTTGTACACCGCTTGATGGTAAAAAAATAAAGTAAATAAATAATGTATATGCTACTGATTCCTTCTAGTGAGAGGGCTGGAACAAGGAAAAGAGACCAAACACCTAGGCCCTTGCCCTTGATGGTAATTAGCCCTTCCACTCTGACTGTACCTCACCCTGCCAACCACCACTGAAATTGGGGCACCACCTTCACCACTCCTGCTACTTGTCCACCCAGACACTTTAGAGCATCATTATTCACCACCACCCCGCCATTTACAGCTGGGATATTAGGGCCACAAGAAAGTAAACCAGTATTTCCCAAACTTGGGTCTCCAGCTGATTTTAGACTACAACTCCCATCATCCCTAGCCAGCAAGACTAGCAGTCAGGGATGATGGGAATTGTAGTCCAAAAACAGCTGAGGACCCGAGTTTGGGAAACCCTGTAGTAAACTAAAGCCCAGCTGTATGTGCGTTCCACACTTTCAGACCCACAGGTGGGTTGTGAAGCCACACCAAGTGGGTCACAATGAAGCTGTTGCCGCCATGTGGGTTTCCAGCTTAGTCTAAGGAGCGTTAACTACATGTGTGTCTAGACCAGTACGCATTTTAATAAGGCACTCATTTCATCCATTTCCACAAGTCCTGCAGTGTGGCAAGAGAAAGGCACCAGTTTTTTTTTTTTAAATAAGATACGTATTTCTGATCAAGCACTTTCTCCTGCCACATGGCAGCACTGGTTTTCCTTTAGTAGTAATGCTAAGTTAACACTGCATGTGTTGTTCTGTGAATTGCCATTTTAGGATTAACAACATGCAATATTACCAGAACTAAGTATAAATCAAAAGCGAAAACACAAAAGTGCACCCCATGATGCAGCTTGGGAGTTGGAGATTGGGGTCACAGGTGTGTACCAGTTGAAGACCACTTTTTTAGCACTTTAGGGAAGCACCAGTTAAGATGCTTGAGGGATGTAAGTTTGCTTTTGCTTGTGTGCTGGGAAGAAGGTATCTGAAGCAAAACTGCCGTATGTCTTCATGTTTTGTCCCCTAGTTTGGTTTCCCATTCTTTCTGCAGAATGGAAACCACACCATTGTCGAGTGTGGAGATGAAGCTCAGTGGGTTCTGTATAAAAAACATTCCCCCTGCATGCATTTCATCTGCAAAGATAAACAAATACTTCCTCTGTCTCTTTCTCTGTTTCCAACAGCTGCGGATAACTGTCTGGTCCTTGTGTACAAAATCTGTGTCTTATATCAAGTATCCCAAGGCCTGTCAGCAGGGTAAGTGGAGCTAACCTAAAACAGGAATGGTTTTTTAAAAAATTATTATTATAGCGAAGATTGCCATGATCTGGGGATATCCCATATCCCCTTCAACTGATATATATCTACCAGCAGGAAGGGTACTGATATGGCAGGGTAACTGCAGTGTATGTTTGTCCCAGTGGATGTTGGTGTTCACAAGTGAGCAATCCCCTCTTGTTCCCAAGCTGTATTCTGTCAGATCCAGGCACGTGTCCGACTGGTGGAGATCTGTGTAATAAAAATCCAGAGTACAAAATCAATTTAGTAGGAGATGGGGGGGGGGGGGTGAGCTTAAAAGTACACTCCTGATTTCTGTGTGGGTAAAGTTTTGAAGCAGGAAGGAAGTCAGGTATGGTTCTTGTGAACAGCAGCCTGATATTGCTAAGCCAACGTGTGCAGGCTGACTGGAGGACGGAATGTCTGAGGATGTGTAGTATATCTTTCTGTTACCACTGAATAACCACAACCAGTTCTGCTAACATACATGTCACTATGAATTGGTGCTTTTGTTCAGGGGATATAGCACTAAAGAGAGAAAGTTTTTCCCCCCTGGTACAAGTGGGGAAGGCCTTGCCATACATAAAAACAACAAAAACAAGGTTTTTGGGTAGAAGAACAATGCCAACACGGAGGATACGTGTGTCGACTTGGAAAATGCGGCTGTTCATTTCTACAGCCCTTGATGATTATGTTCTATCTCCGCTGTTGGAGGCAGTGTGCCTCTGAATACTGGTAGCTGGGAATCACAGGAGGGGAAAGCTGCTGTTGCACCCGAGTCCTGCTTGTGGGCTTCGTGGGGGCATTTGGTTGGCCACTTTGAGAACAGGAAGCTGAACCCTTTGGCACGACTGAACAGCGCTAATTTTAGGTTCATATTCCATTGGACAGCCCATGCAATTTAATTAAACATGGCTCTTTTCTCTTTCTTCTCTATACTTACCATGTTCTTGCACACACATGAATCTGAATACCATAGGAAAGGCTGAAAATGCTTTGAATGGCATGTTCAAGAAAAGTGGAAGCGTTAAAGAACGCACTGAGAAGTAGCTTTATCTTGCAAAAACAGTATCTCCCTGATACCTGATCTTAGGTTACATGTACACAGTTGTTTTTGATGATTATAATAGTTATTGCATAACCAGTCTCGTGAATCTGCTGTTAGACTGGCTCTCCCCACTCCACATGATACGGATTCTTTGTACTTATAAGCACCAGTTTGTCCAATCAATGTTACTCAAATCATGTGCCTAAAGAAATAGGGAAGTATTCTAATATCTCTTGTCTAAACTAGAGGTGAGAATACTAACTTCCGCTCCTCCCCTTACGTAATTCATACCAGTATTTTGAATTAAACATTTGTGGTTTTGTGTGGCCTTTCAGAAAGCATTTCTTCTTACCAAATAAGATGAGGACAGCTGAGAGTCAAGGGTCCTGGGTCAGGGTTCTGTTTTCCTTTCACACGCAGACAGGCTTTCCATTACTTGGTCTTGACAGTAGCGGAGTTTACAATGGTGGTACTTCAGGGCCTTGAAGAGTCGAATGAAAGCAATAGACCTCCACTTCAGAGCAAGTATAGTGTGTGTGTTATGCAAGGCCTCTCAAGAGAACAGGAACTAAGCAGCAACAAATATGCCTTAAGACATACTCATTCATCCTCAAAAAAAAGCCTCTTCTGTCCAGGTTTTGTTTTTCTTTGGGTTTGGCCCATTCCTTGGCTAATATTAATTGCTCAATTTCCCTCTCTCCTAAGTGCTGCCATTTTTGTGTGTGTGTTTGGCAGGAATAGCATTCACAAAGGATGGCCGGTACATGGCCTTGGCAGAGAGGAGGGACTGCAAAGACTACATCAGCCTCTTTGTATGCAGTGATTGGCAACTTCTGAGGGTAACCCTCCCCCCATTATTCACCTTCCCCTTGTAGGCTCCTGTGTGCCTTGTAACCTTATAGAGCCTGTGCAGATGTAACGTTCCAAATCCTTTAGCGATAAGGAGTTGACCGTCAGTTTGTGCCTTTTCCTTCCACCTCGTTCAATTTGCAAATTCTCTTCAATAGGCTAGAGCTGGTGCTGTCTTTAACCATGGTTAATGCTAATCCTCCTGGGAATCCAGAGGACTTATTCCAGGGGAGAAGGCAAAGTAAGACAGTGAATTGTATAGGTGGGGAGCAGGCCAGTTTCTTGCAAAAAGTGAGAAGAATAGTGCTTGAATATTTTTGCTTCATGTCTCAGGTTCTACAAATGCTAGAACCTCAGAGCTAGATTCACCTAGCCAGTTCCATTAACCTAAGGCCTGTACAAGCACTTCCTCAAGCACAATGGGGTTTCTCGCCCTCTGAAATTGGCTCAGGGAATGTCAGGAAAATATCCCCAGAAGAGCAAGCAGGGTGTGTATGTTTGTACAGATAGAACAATTGGAAGAGCGGGATATTTAATTCCACTGTTAGGATTGTATTCATTAATGGATACAAGTTGCTCATGTACACACACACACTCTTTAAAATGAAAGCTGGGAATCGGTATTATAGTTATCAGGCATGGGGCAGGGGGACACCCTGTGCGTGCCCACGATCATTCTTCTCAAAATGTGGTCCAATATTCATAAAAGAAAAGAAACTATTTATTTAATTGGGTAATGTATTTAGAATCACATAATTACAGAGTTGGAAGGGACCGCAAGGGTCATTTAGTGCAATCTTCTGCATTGCAGGAATCACAGCTAAAGAATCCCTGACAGATGGCCATCCAGCCTCTGTTTAAAAACAGCAAATGAAGGAGAGTCATTTACCTCTTCGTATTTCAGAGAAATTTTCTAAGCTGTTTTCCACATCCTAAAATATCACAAATAGCCAAGTCAGAATAATATATTTTTTTTACAGTACCTCATATAACAATTATGTAAGATGCCTTCTTAAACATTAGTAGAAATGGAAACAGCTGTTGTAATGGGGATACCTATGGGCAGTTTCAAGATGTAGCAGTACAGCAGAGACAACCAGCCCCCACCCACCAACTATAGAAGCATTGGAAGCAGCTGCCCCTCTCACTTCTGCTGTTTCCCCACCTTAAGCTCACACTGAAATTATTTCCTTTGTTTCTGTTTGGAAGCATTTTGATACTGAAACACAGGACCTGGCTGGGACAGAATGGGCGCCGAACGGCTGCGTGTTGGCGGTGTGGGACAGCTGCCTGGAGGTGAGGGGAAACTGCCAGTGCCTCAGTGGAGGGATCTTTTGCCAAACCCATTGCAGCATTTCAGAGCAGCTGTGTCCATATTGACTTAATAGCCCACATAAAAATGTGGCTGAGAGGTGGCTTTAATGAGAGCATTATCTAGGTAATGGCTTCTTGAGAACAGGCATGGATAGTCTGTGGCCCTCCAGATGTTGCTGGACTGCAATGCCCACCACCCCTGACCTTTAGCTATGCTGCCTGATGGGATCTGGAGTCCCAAACAACATCTGGAGGGTCACAGGTTGCCCCTTCCTGTCTCAAGAGATGGCCTTTGCACCAACCTTTTGAGCTTATGCATTCTGTTGCTGGAATCTCAATGTGAAAACACTTTCGAGATTTTGCAAAATGCAAAAAAGATTCTCTTTCTTTAGTGCTTACCACTCAGCACTTGGGTATGGATAATTGACAGGCTGTGCATATGCATCTTTGGACTGGGGCGGAGGGTGCTTGTTTCAAGACCTTCAGATGGGACAGACTAAGACTCTTAAGCCATTGCCAGTCTTAAGATGTAAACCTTTTATTTCAGTATAAAGTTTTGCTGTACTCCCTCGACGGGCGTCTGCTGTCCACATACTGTGCTTATGAATGGTCACTAGGCATTAAATCTATCGCCTGGAGCCCCAGCAGCCAGTTCTTGGCAATCGGCAGCTATGATGAAAAGGTAAGGCTTCTGAAGCCCTGCCAAAGTTGAGTTTGTGCCACAGTTCGTTCTCTCTCTCTCTCTCACTCTCTCTGTATTCACTCTGGGCTTTCTCATCTCTTAATCAGGTGCGCATTCTGAACCATGTGACTTGGAAGAAAATTACAGAATTTGAGCATCCTGCAAACATTGCTAGCCCAAAGATAGTAAGTAGAAAAAGAAGTGTGGTCTGCTCATGCTGCAGGAAACATACTCGGGGGGGGGGGGGGCGGTGGTGGCATTGAGACCATATATATATATATATATATAAAATAATTGGTATTTGTATAATTCTTCAAAATGTTTTCAGCAGTCCTTACAAAAACTCTGCAAGGACGGTCAGTATCATTGTCCCCAGCAGTTAGGATGTTCTGGCTGTGTGGCTTGCTTAAGGTCATTTAGTAAGCATGCAGCTGAGGTGAGATTTGAACACGGGACCTCCTGTTCACATCTCAGCCTTTTAGTCACTTGATGTAAACCAGCCAAGTGCTGGTTCGTATGGACAGCTTTGATAATTATTTTCTTTTTGTTTGTTTGTTTGAACCAAAAACATGCAGATTCAAGGGGATTGCTTTGTGATCAGAGATGAGGAGAAATGTGAGGCACTACCTTGGTTCATGTGTTCTTCTTCCTGCTCTTCTTCCCCCATGGAATGGGTTTTTAAAACATGCGACACCCATGTTGCAGCTTCTATTCTGCAAATTCTCTTGCATTTCTTTACATCACACAGTCTGGATATCTATGTTCTGATTTGTGTTAGAACAATAGTTGAGAAGGATTAAAGAAACATCTCACCCAAACCCCACATCCTGTTTATTCTTAAGTTTATATTTTCATCCAATGATATCCCCACCACTCAGACCTTGCTTACTGCCATGCTTTCCAGCCCGAGTGTGGATGATCTAGCAACATGTCTCCTATAAAGAGGTGCAGGGCTGACTTGCCTTTCTCTTCAGATTGTCTATAAGGAGGTGGAGAAATCGCCAGCAGTGGAAGTGGAGAAACTTGCCTTCCCCCCTACCAAGAAAATGGCAAGCTCTCTCTTCAGCACAAAGAGCAAATGTAAGTCAAAGCAGGGACCGTGTGTACAAAGCTGCGTTATCACTTGTTTGTTTACTTACTTAAATGTATTTGAAATAACTTTTACTCTCTTCTGCTGCTCAAAAGACCCCCATGGTGAAATACAAGACGTACTGTGCCCTTAGATGCACTGTGTAAAAGGCAAGACATAAAAGGAAAAAGAGAAGGGGAGAAGGGAAAAAACAAATATCAAGCAGTATTTCTTATAACAGTCAGCTGGGGTGGAAGCAGGTTAGAGAAAGGAGGTGCCAAAAGGATTTGGTTTTGCCACAGAAAAAGGTTCAAATACATGATACCCAGAGTGATACTATATGGTTCTTGTGAGATCTTGATTGCTTTTGAGACCATTGACTGTAAGGTCTTAGCAGCATACCTGTTTGACTTGGCAGTTGTTGAGCAACTGCTGTGGACTAGATTCTCTAATTCCTGTCAACAGATACCAAAAGATACTAATAGGTAGTTGCTCAGTTTTCCTAGCCCCCCCCCCCCCCAATCTCCTGTCCTGGCTGCTTCCATTCAGCATGTGTCTATATGAGGCAGCTGAACCACATCGTGAGACACTGCAGTTGTGTATGGTGAGACACATCTCATTTTTGTGAGACTGGGCACTTAAAAGAAGGTTGGACTAAGTACTCAGTATCTGTTGATTGACTGGATTTATATACTGCCTTTCTGTCAAGCCATTCAAAGTAATTTACAGTTTAAAAATACTAAAACATATATCTTATAGAGGCTTCTCAATGCCATTTGGGAGCTGGTGGTCTGTGTTCTTCCTGGCCTGGGCTCCTTCACTTCAGTAGGGCTGTGTACCAGTCCTGGTGGAATCCCGAACGGAATCTGGCCAATTCAGGTCAACCCATAATTCCGCCAGAATGGGTTGAGGTAGCCCCAGGTTGGATTGGATCTACCCAGAGTGATCCAGGGCTGTCAAGGGGGGCAGTGGAGGACAGTCTTGTAGTGAAAGTCAGGGAGTGGGGAGGAGGAGATCTAGGCAGGCAGCCTGCAGGTGTCTTCCCTCTGCTGATGCATGTTTAATTTGGTTTTTAAAAGCTAATTAAACACTGCAAGGCCCCCACTGGGGTGCCTGATTGGGCCCAGAATTGAAGCAGTGGGAGGAGGTGCAGCCCTAGTACTCTGTGTGCATCATAATATTAAAAGGAAGTTTATTCCACGATCCATAAAATAGAACAATCTATGGTTTAAGTGTCATTATGACTTTTAATTTTTCCTCCCCTTCCAGATGAAATTGCCCAGGTCCCAGTTTCTTTGCATCATGTCAAACCTGCGGTGGACCGGGCAAATCCTAGAATTGGAGTTGGAATGTTAGCTTTTAGCTCAGATAACTGCTTTCTGGCGACCAGAAATGGTTAGTATCTCAAGAGGGGTGAATGAGGACCAATTTTGGGCTTTGCAGTAAGTTTTCACTGTGGGTGGTTACTGAGGTCCGTCTGCCTCAGTTCCATAGACCAATTATTAGTACAATTGTGAACCAGGGACTGATTGCATTGTGTGCCTGTATTGTACCTTTAATTGTTGTTTCACATCTAACAGATAATATTCCTAATGCTATTTGGATCTGGGATGTCCAAAAGATGAAGCTGTTTGTGATCCTGGAGCAGCTGTGCCCCATCCAGCTTTTCCAGTGGGATCCCCGTCAGCCCCGGCTTGCCATTTGTACTGGGAACAGCAGAGTGTACCTCTGGTCCCCAGCAGGATGCGTGTCTGTACAGGTACCAGTGGAAGGTAAGGAAGCTCCAAACTGATACTGCAGACAAGTCAGGCCTAGGGGCAATTTCGCCACAGTGGAGAAGGATATCCTTGAATTGGGTTGCCGTTACCTACTGGGCAATTAGCAACAACAGGTTTTGTTAACTTTTTCTTAACTGGCTGATCATTTTCAACATGTCTTTAATAGACAGCTCACATTCTCTAGGTGTGTGATCATTTCAACAACTCTAGGTCAATGCTTGGATTGATGTTACCACATCAGAAAGGAACTGAAAGCAGTGTGCTGGTTGGCCCTCATTTGGTTGTTAAATATGCGGTGCTGATTAAGTGCATTGCACGTGACTGTGAAAAAACTGAGGCAGATGTCACAAGTGGAGATTAACTCCAAAACCATATAGATCATACTTGCATTGCTGTCATGAAGCACACGGTGTGTATGTATTCTACTCTGAGTAGGCCCATTAAAATTGGTCAACCTTCTCAGAGTAGGACTAACAGTGGAATACAGCCCATGTCAAGGTTCAATCCTTCACATCTCCAGTTAAAAGGAGTAGTAGCAGGTGATGAATGAAACTGTCTGATGGAGACTCTAGAGTCACTGCTAGTCAAAGCAGACAACACTAGGCTAGATGGTCAATCTGATTTGATCTGAGTCATCTTCCTACATTAGCTGCTACAGCACACATTCTAGAGTGCTTTCTGGACTTTTTAAGATACTGAAAAAAACACAAAGGAATCCTGAAATCTTTTAGGATTATTATTCTCTTAATCATCCTTTCAAATTCTGAAGCTGTGACCAAATTAGCACCACCCACACCCAAACGGGGAGATATTAGGAGGTCTATGTATTTGAAGAACCTCAACACAGCCCAACGAGTTCTGCGCCTGCTTAAGAGGCCACAGGATGTTGACTGCTGTAGGTCAGGGTAGGAAATAAGACTCGAAAACAAGATGGAGTGGTAGAGACCATGAACAGGAATGCTCCATGCAGCAACGTGTTTGAATACATTTTAGAAAGTAGTCCTTAAATATTTACGTGTACAGTGCTGTTCTGCAAATTGGGGCTAAAGTATGCCTACAACTATCTTTTATCTGAAGGGGGTGCATCATAATGATCACCTAGCAAAATTTTGTGCTTAAAGGGTATTTGCCAGTAAAAATTTTTGATCCATGTCCACAGGTGACTTCCAGGTAACTTCTCTGTGCTGGCACTCCAGTGGGGATTCTCTGGCTCTCCTGAGTAAGGACAATTTTTGTATGTGTTACTTAGAAAAAGAAGAGGAAGATGTGAAATAGCTACACCCAAAGCTAAGCTGGGTTAAAACGGAAGCCTGGTTTTGTGTACTGGTTCTCCAGCATTGCAAGTGGAGGGGGAGGGTGGAGAGAAACTGCTGCTGGGCTTAGTCTGTATATAGATGTGTGGAAGCTTGTATTTGCCCTTGATGCACTTTAAACAGCTGAGCAGTATAAAATGTTATGAAATAGTGAGGAAACAGGTGTTTTAGCTTTAAATTTCTAGATCCATTTACAACATAATGTATATCTTAGTGTGTAAACTACTTAGTTTATTTTGAAAATAAAATAAAACATTTTTGTTACATAATGCATTATTAAAACATGGCTACAAGGCTGCCATTTTTTTCATTCTTCAGAGTATGAACAGTATGTGCTGTCGCCTATGAAAACAAAAAATTGAATGAAGGTGTGCAGTGCTGACTTATAAAGGGAAAGCTCTCAGGTTAAACTCAGCACCTGAAATGTTCCCAGAAGCGGTCTGCCTGAAGCAGGATTTGGCCAGTTTTCAAGGGCCCTGGCACCTGCCCCTTCAGTCCTTTACTGAGGTTTCCACTCACTGTTACGGATGCAGTCAATGATAACCAAGGCAACAATTTGGATAGAAGAGCTGCTTGTTGTCCTGTTGGTTGACTTAGAAAACACAGAACTGCTTGGATCAAGAGCAAGGAGCACAGTGCTCATTTGATTCCACCCCATGCCTCCGCTGCAGTTCCTTCGTAAGTGGAAAACAGAAATGAAGAACAGCTAGGCAGTTTGTATATTAGCAGCTGCCAACATCTACCTGTTTGTTAAGTAAAGCTACCCAATTAGTTTTGATTTTTTTTTTATACTTAGCGTACAGCCTAAAATCTCCAGACAGTTTGTTCTTCCTAGTACGTCTTGGTACTACACGAACTACTCTTAACAAAACCTCATTTGAATGCCTGCTACCCCCTCCCACTCTCTACCTTAAGGCTGTTACCAGATGCAGACACAGATGGGAACAGTACCAGCCAATTCTGCCCCTCCCCCCTATTTTTATAATATAGTTGGACAAAGAGGTCTGTCAACGAAACCCTGCACACCATTTTGTAATTATGTTAGCTGGTCTAATGAATTACGATAAGGGCTTTAGGTTAAAAATGCTTTTCTTTGGTATACAAAATAGTGTAACAAGGCCACTGGCAGCACCCAATGTAAAAAGTGTGTGTGTGTTTTACTTGTTTCCCTTCCATTAGAAGAAGAAGAAGAAGAAGAGGAGTTTGGATTTGATATCCCGCCTTTCACTCCCTTTTAGGAGTCTCAAAGTGGCTAACATTCTCCTTTCCCTTCCTCCCCCACAACAAACACTCTGTGAGGTGAGTGGGGCTGAGAGACTTCAAAGAAGTGTGACTAGCCCAAGGTCACCCAGCAGCTGCATGTGGAGGAGTGGAGACGCGAACCCTGTTCCCCAGATTACAAGATTACCACTCTTAACCATTACACCACACTGGCTCTCAATTAAACAATTGTTTGCTCCTCCCTGCCCGACCTTTGACCCAGCCACAAGGAATAAATAACAGTTAAGATTCACATTTACTTCAAGTTTATTAAGCTTAAATATACCTTGCTTAAGACAAAAAAAGGTCATGCATTCGGTTCCATTCCAGCACCATATATTTTGACACAAATTTTCAGAGAGAGAAAAAAATGGTTCAGAGAAATAAGCACTATAAAACATTGGATTACCAGTACCAAAGCAGGATTTCTTGCATATTAGTGACAAACTTTCAGTAAGCATAGAAAGATTCAACCAGCAAAGGTGACACAGGCCGGGAGCCAAAGCTCATGTGCAGGCACTGGGAGGTTTGGCATGGTTGCTATTTCCTCCCTTCTGGCAGCATCTTATCTCATCGAATGCCACCTGGAAAGATCTGTGACCTTTTGGGGTACCTTTTTGGAGGAAGGATATGAGGAGTTTCCGATAAATCCTTATGCACAAACCTCACATGGCCCTTTGGATCCCAGCCACAGAACATTATTCATGCAATAGAGCAGAAAGTCTCTATATACTTGACTTTTAAGAGATACAGGTTTGTCTAGTTTTAAGGAAATGTCCATAGTCTTTTCTCCTAGCCCTCTTATTAGAGAGGTACTTTGGTGCTATTCATCTAGTTTAGATTAAAACAAAGTAGAAAGCTAATCAAAAATTCCCTTTTCTTGTAAGATAAAAAAAAACTTGATCCCATGTGGCAAAAGTTAATATAAAAATCAGACACTGCTGCTTGTGTGTTCACAGTGAGACTTCTTTGGATATCTGACTGCAACGAGAAGCTGTAGCTAGATGCATTTGCATCTGACTATAGAAGGTTATTAAAGGCAACTACCATCACTCAACCACATTTCCACTGAAATGTGCAGTCTCCAAAGATTAACAGAAAATAACTTGGGTTCTGACAAAATAATCACATTAGCAAAACAGTTCACAACCTGTCAAACCGACAGGTGCTCTCTTTAAATGAAGAGAGAGAGAACTTTTATCCCTGCAAAACAGAACCTCAATCATACGTAAATATGACACTTGCAAAAGTAATATGTTTACTGATAAGAGTTAAAAATGAAACCATGCTTCAAAATATACAGGTGGCTTACTTGAGACACACTGACGGAGGGAAAGAACTTTTCACTGGAATATTTATTTGACTCACCAAATGAATTTTATGACAAGCAAGACTTGTTAGATGAGCTGGAAACTCCTCTATATGTTCTTCTCTCTCTCTCTCTTCTTCCAGGGAGCTGATAGGCAGTGATCTCTCCACCCTTTCTTTGGAAGCAGACTTTTAAAATCCAATTTTGCCTCTTGTCATTGAATAGCCCAACTTGGCCTCATTATTGATGAAAGACATTAATCCCACATAGGTCTCAATGAGAAGAGGGCGCTCCAGCAGCAGAACTCCATTTGCCCTCCCAGGCAGAGGGCACTCCTTGTGGGCCTTCTTCACAGCTTGGATCAGTTGAGTTTTGAAGTTCTCCAACTTAAAAACAAACACAAACCATACCTGTTAATTATACTGGATAGTCAGAAAACCAACACTGCAGAACTTCTGTATCCGTGAACAACTAACTGCAAATGGCTCAAGCGCTTTTTAAAACCCCTCACCAGAAGTGTGCCATGAAATAACAGGTTTCATTCTAACTCCATAACAGAAGGATGGAAGAAGCCATACAATTAGCACAGCCAATGGGACTTTGGAATAGGGCTTGTTTCTCAAACAGCATCCCTCCGTGCCATATGGCAAGTTACTTTTGAAACCATGAGGACTCTCAAGAGCAGTTTGTTGGCATAGCAAGAGTGTCTGCAGTATAAAAGAATGACCCATACAGGATGGGTCCAGAACCTTAGATGTACCTACAAATTTATATATTTGAAAGTCTCAAGACCTTTCAGTTGGCATCAAGTTGTCTACTGCAAACTCTTGTCAACCTTTTTTGGAAGTAAATCAAACAACTGTCCTTTGCATGTATGCTTAGATGTGTGGATTTTGTGCTAAGAAAACCAAAGAGAAGACACACATTATTTTTTTAAAAGGCCAGTGGAGAAGGGGTCAGTAGCAATGGAGAATAATATTAAGGCAGCTAAAATCAATCCCAGCTCCTCCTCCAAATCAAGCCTTTACACTTCCATCAAACCCTCAGAAAGGACAAAGTGTAGGATGCTGGTCTGTCTTATGTACAGTGGTACCTTACTAAAGTTCTGTTATGATTTCTACCTAAAGAACTTGACCTTGACTAAAGTCACCCAAAGAACGTACATATGGCAACACCTTACTTGACAAAGAGATGCAATCTTTTCATCAGCATCAGCCATCGGATGTTCTGTGAAGGTGGCATATGGCACATTTGTGGACCATGGGTTCCATCTATTTATGAAGGAGGCACGGCTTTGTTTATCCCACTGGACTCTGATTCCAAAGCCTTCTCGTCTGAAAAAGGGAAAGATTGTGTGCTCACTCAAGCTCCCCCTTCAGCCATGCAGTTTCTGTGAACCCTTCAACCATTTAAACTGTTTTATGGGAAAGCAATGACACACAGCCTATATAAAAATATGTTACACTGTGAAACCTGATAGTTTTTGTAGTAATTAAAGATGCATGAGGAGCTTAAATGGAGATCTGGAAGCTAGAAGCTTAATCAAAAAGCTTCTATAGTCCATATCTACTAGAAGACAGGACCTAACAACTGCAAGTCTTCTATAATGCAGTGGGATTTACAAAATAGACAAAACAAAGAACAGGAAACAGAATCAGAACCCACTTGTTCAGTGATTTAGGAGGAAACTCAAATTCTCCAATGGAAATTGTATCAACGGCGTTAAGTGATATTCTGGTCACTTGCTGGCACTGCAGGCTGATGAAGTCATATTTACAGATCAAAAGGGACCAATCAGTAATGAGAACCAAGCGCTCCTTCTCATTGTTCCAGTGATCAATTCTGGAAAGGGGGAAAAATAAATAAAGATGAGTTAGCATGGTTTATCTCCCTAAACTAAACACAGATGATAAAGTGAGGAGGGCTTTTATGAAATAAATTATTCCTACGCATGCCCATCCCAGTTTAAACCGAAAGTCTATTTTTACTGCAGTTAGATACACACTAAAAGGTTTGTGGCATGGTTAGCTAATCCTGTAATCAAGAAGTATGGAGTGATAATTCACCAGTACCTCTTCTAAATCATTGCTTGCGGGCCACCCTTTTTCCTTCTAAGGCAGAGGCAAAAGTGGGCAGAGCAATGGATATGATCCTTATCTTTGAACCATACATTCCAGCTCTGCAAAAGTCAATAGGTCTGTGTACTCTACCCCTGTCCAGATCTTAGGTCAATAAAAATTCTAGCCAGGCAAGAACATGCAAGGAGCGGGGCTTGTGGGAGTCCTGAGGGTCAAATGGAGAGGCCTGCAGAGTCACCTTTGGCCTCTGGGCTTGTGGTTTCCCACCCCTGCCTTACTGCCTGGATCAAAACAAGTCAGTCTGGTTCCTGCGCCTGGTCATTCTGTTTACATCTCACCCTGCTTTTGGGAGGCCTGGGGGTGGCATGGTCAAGTGCTTCTTTTAAAGAGGTTGCAGTCAAGAACTTTGTAAAGACTTCTCCTGCCAGATCACAAGATCTTCTGCATGCAGTTTGGCTTGCTTTTCTGATGTTAATTGAACCACCATTCCTAAGTTTCAGCTGTTTTGTTGGAAAGAATGAAAGGAGGGAAACCACTGAAACTGCATATCAGACCTGCTACTTACTCAGTTAGCAGCCATACACTCTGCACTTCTCCATCTTCAGTGGGCATCACCACCACTCGTATCTCGTTCACTGCCTGCTCTATTGTTCCTGGCTAAATTAAAACAAAATGGAAATAAATTTTCCCCAGTTAGAGTAATATTGACATCTTCTCACCCCTAACAGAGCCCCCATACACAATTGCAGTCTACCCCAGGATATTCCCCCCCACCCAAAAAATTACATGCCCCTTTCTCCTGTCTGCTTCCCAGAGCTTCCAACCACAGGGGCAGTCTACCCCTAGAATAACGTTCTTTCTCTTGAAAATTGATTTCCTTCTCTTGTCTGTCTTCTCACCACAGCTGCAATCTACTCCCTGCTAAATATTCCTCACCGCCCAAAATTATGTGTCCTTTGGTCTCCTCTCTTCTGCCCTCCCAAACAAGAGCCTCTAGCCACAGGGGCGGCCTACCCAAATATATTTTCCTTTCAAAAGTAAATTTCCCTGTCACCGTCTCTCCATAACTGCAGTCTAACAACCCCACCCCACCGAATATCCCCATGCCGCCATCCAAAATTATGTGCCCTTGGATAGCTCAGCTGCTGACGATACCAAAGGCCCAGGTTCGATCCCCGTGTGGGACAGCTGCATATTCCTGCATTGCAAGGGGGTTGGACTGGATGACCCTCAGGGTCCCTACGATTCGGCGATTCTCTTCCGTTCCCGCTCCAGAGCCTCCAAGCCGCGGTTTCCCACTAGAATATCCCCCTACCCGCGCCCAGAATCGCGTGCCCGTTTCTCTCTCCTCTCCCTCCAAAGAGAGCCTCCAGCCACAGGGGCAGTCTACCCGCAGAGGAGCTCCCGGGCGCCAGGGAGGTGGGCGTGGCCTCCGCCGCTCCCTCCCCCCCCTCCTCACCCGGAAGACGAAGTACTCCTTGAGGCGGCCCCCCCGGGTGGGGTTTCGGACGCTGAGGGGCCGCAGGGTCTGCCTGGGCGGCGCCTGCGCCAGCAGCGAGGAGGAGGGCGAGCTGGGCGGCAGCTCCCCCGTCGGCGTGAAGGGCACGTCGGCCTCGGCCGCGGGCACCAGCAGCGCCGCCCCCCCGGAGCCTTCGCAGGAGCCCGGCCCGACGCCTTCCACCGAGTCCCGCATCTGCAGCATCGCCCACACCGGCGCCTAGCGCGCCAGGCCTCTCTGGCGGCCGCCTCACAGCAGCGCCTTCTGCGCCTGCGCGGCGGCGGCGGCGGCAACGGCAGCTTCTCTCCTCTTTCCCCCGGCGCGCCGCCCAACGGCCGTCCTGAGGGGCGGGGACTCGGCAGCCCGTAGACTCACGCGGAGGGGGTAATTTAGACTCAACACCTGTGGAGGACGAAGACGCAACTTCCGGGTCGGCTTCCTCCAACGTTCCACGTGTATTAGCTGCTGGGGATGCTCAGCGCTAGGCGAGTTGCTGCTGCGCTCAGCACCTGCTTGCTGGCTTCCCGTAACGGGCAGCTGGTTGGTCGCTGTGAGAAGCAGGTTGCTGGACTTAGGTGGACAACCTTTGCCCTGATCCAGGAGGGCTGTTTTTGTTGTTCGCGATTGGGGTTGCCAAGCCAGGGTGTCCACCTGTCACGAATGCCTTCGTTGAGATTCCTGCATTGCAGGGGGTTGGACGAGATGACCCTTCCAGCTCTAGGAGCATCCCAGACCCTGAGATGTCAGGGACCAGACCTGGGACTTAGGGGTGAACCGCTGTGATGTCAGTAAGCACGACAATGTTTAAGCATTGCTCACAGCATAGCACCTGGAAAGGAACAACAGAGGATATTGCAGTCTATGCTTGCTATGAAATGTCCTTGCAATAGCCAATGTTAAGTGCTGCAGGCATTCAGCTTCCTTCTGATTTCACCACCTACATCTACGCTTCACTAAAACCAATGCCCGGGTTTTGATTTGTCTGAATACCCAGAGCTCCTGTTTTTATTGGTTTTTAACATCCTCTCCTTATACTACTGTTGTATTGTTTGCGTTTCGTGTTTTTGTTTTAGTGAGAACGTTCACTGTTATTTTTACATTGTACACCACGTAGATTGAAATACTTTATTGTCACTTGTACAACTTGTATACAGTGAAATTACACGAGCACTCCCACTCAGCTCTCTTAGTCTTAATTTAAGGTTACCAGACATCCCCGTTTCCCGGGGACAGTCCCTGGATTTACAAATTAGTCCCCATACAAAATCCATTGAAGTTGAAAAGTGTCCCCAGATTCATTGAAAAAAATCTGGAAACCTTATCTTAATTCCCCTCGTTTACTGACGCACACCCACCAAACCCGAAAGTCAGTTGCCCTGTTGTTATCTTTTCATTCAGCAGCCTAACAGCCCATGGATAGAAGCTGTTCTTTACCCTGTTGGTGTGACCAATCATGCTTCTATAGCATCTGCCCGAGGGCAGGAGATCAAGAAAGTGCTGGCCAGGGTGTGAATCATCCCTGAGAATTTTCCTCACTCTCCTGAGGCAACATTCTTCCATGTCATCCAGTAGATAGATAGATAGATAGATAGATATATCAAGTGCTTTTAAAAACAATTGAAATACATGTATATCACTTTTCTCTATTTATTTATATTATGTTGTTCCCTTTTCTGGGATTGAAAATGTTCAATAAAGAGTAGGCTATAAACACTTCCAATAAATAAATAAATATGGCACACCTAGTCCAACCCCCTGCAATACACAAATCATTTAGCTAAAGAAGGGATGAAACTAGGTGTTGTTCCACCCGGGTCAAATGCCTAGTTTGGCACACAAACCCCACGGGCATTTCCATAGACACACACACACACACACACACACACACACACACGCACACAGCCTGAGAGCCACAATGGCACCCCTCTGGGGGCTTCACCTGGGACAAAAAACCTGGCTAGTCCCATAGCTACGGTTTTGGCTAAAGAATCCCTGACAGGCATCCAACTTCTTAAAAACCTGCAATGAAGGAGTCTAAGGTCGGCGGTTCGAATCCCCGCAACGGGGTGAGCTTCCGTTGCTCGGTCCCTGCTCCTGCCAACCTAGCAGTTCGAAAGCACATCAAAGTGCAAGTATATAAATAGGTACTGCTCCGGCGGGAAGGTAAACGGTGTTTCTGTGTGCTGCTCTTTTTCTCCAGAAGTGGCTTAGTCATGCTGACCACATGACCCGGAAGCTGTCTGCAGACAAACGCCGGCTCCCTTGGCCAGTAAAGCAAGATGAGCGTCGCAACCCCAGAGTCGTCCGCGACTGGACTTAACGGCCAGGGGTCCCTTGACCTTTTTACCACCTTCTGAGGGAGTACATTTCACTGTTGAACAGCTCTTACCCTCAGAAAGCTATGTCTATTCCTACAGTTTAGTTGGAATTTCCTTTCTTGCAATTTGAATCCATTGGTTTGGATTGTGCCATCAGAAGCAGCAGAAAACAAGCTTGCTCCACCTTCCATGTGACAGCCCTTGAGATATTTAAGATGGCTATCATATTTCCTCTCAGTCTCCTGTTTTCCAGGCTAAACATACCCAGCTTTTTCAACCGTTCCAGACCCTTGATCATCTTGGTTGCCCTTCTATGCACACGTTCCAGCTTGTCCATATCCTTAAACTTAAACATCCTAAATATCTTTACAGAAGCTTACGGAAAACTTGACCCATTGGTCAATATCCAAAAAACAAAAGCGCTGCACCAACAAGCACAAAACAACCCCTCTTCAGTGCCACAAACCCAACTTAATGGTGTAACGTTGGAAAGTGTTGATCACTTTTCCTACCTGGGCAGTTATCTTTCCACAAGGACCAACATCAATGATGAAATCCAGCCTTGCCTGAGAGCTCTGCGAGTGCAGCTTTCTGCTGATTGAAACGCAGAGTGTTTGAGGTATGGGACATTCACAGGGAAACCAAAATGCTTATTTACAAAGCTACTGTACCATCAACTTTACTGTACAATTGTGAAACATGGGTCACTTATAAACGCCATCTCCCAACCCCTCGAAAGATTTCATCAATGGTGTCTGAAAATTTTTACACATCACTTGGGAAGACAGGCAAACTAATGTCAGTGTACAGGAAGAAGCAAAGATCACCAGTGTTGAAGCAATGTTTCTTCAACATCAGCTTTGTTGGACTGGTCATGTTGTTCGGATGTCTGATGATCGTCTTCCAAAGCAACTATTCTATTCCCAACTCAAGAATGGAAAGTGAAATACCAGTGGACAGCAAAAGAGGTTGAAGGATGCTCTCAAGGCAAATCTAAAAAAATGTAGTATAAGCACTGATAACTGGGAAACACTGGCTTGCCAGCGCCCCAATTGGAGAACAGCCTTTACCAAAGGTGTCATGGGCTTTGAAGACACATGAACTCAGGATTCAAGGAAGAAAAGTGCTAAGAGGAAGGCATGCTTGGCAAACCCTTACTGTGATCAACTCCCACCCAGAAACCTATGTCCCGACTGTGGAAGGACGTGTGGTTCAGAATTAGCCTCCACAGTCACTTACAGACTCACTGTTAAGACCCTTTTCATGGAAGACAATCTTACTTGGCTACGAGTGATCACTGAAGAAGAAGAAGAAGAAGAAGAAGAATTAAATAGTTGTGCCCAGAACTGGACACAGGCCTCCAGGTGGGGTCTGACTTTGACGACTCTTAACGTTGTGACACAGGCAATATGTTGTTTTCTTAGGGTCTCACAATGTGTTCCTTATTTGGCAGTTCTTCAGATGACAACTTTGCAGTTTGATATGTCCTGTCTCACCTGCCCTGATGTGATTACAGGTAAGTGCTGCCATCTAGTGACATGATTTCGAAAAATTCAGTCCCAAGAGCTCTATCTAAGGAGAGCATTTATTTTGGCTGGCATGCGGCAGAAGGGGCTAGCAATTGGTGTCCAATAAAATGTGGGCATGTTCAAGGCAGGGTGGTGGTGGTTTCAATGCGGAAGAGTCTGAGCCCATGCAAATGGAAACTGAGCAAGAACAGCAAACAGTCACTGGGTTTTAAGCCCATTGATAACATTCATTCATTCATTCATGGTTTTTTTTTTATTTAGTTCTAAAAAAATATGCTTTGGGCATCCTCTGGGGGATGGAGAAACAGGATAGCTATGTCTTAACTGAATGAAATTCTTCCAAATGTCTACCCAGCTACCTGTTCCAGAATGGCAATGCTTCCTGTCTGTATTGCAACAGACAGAAACAGGAGGAAGTTGATAGCTTTAAAACAAAGCAGCGACCCTTGAGGTTACTGATTAGGAAGTAAGTCCCCTTGAACTCAGCGAGAATTACTCCTGAATAAACGTGGAGGGCTGGCCTGCCAATTGCATTGTAATGGGGGGCGGGGAGATCACTGCATGTTGTGTTGGACCTCCCAAGTTTGGGAAAAACAATTGCAGGAGAGTTTTAAATGTGCGCTGAAGTGCAATAAGTATGCAGCTGTGCGAGAGGCAAATTCCAGAGGCATAGCCATTTAAGCCTTGCAGTAACTGAAAAAGGGTAACCAATTTATTGCAACATAACCATTTATTCACTCTAAACCAGGTCTGGAGAGTGTCAGGTCAGGAATGGGTGAGTAAAGGCAGCCCTCCACAGCTCCCTGTCTTGGTACTCTCCCAAGCCATGCCCCCTCCTGGCTGTGCATCACACCCTCCTGCTTCACCTACCAGAGATGCGTTGCGGTACTCATTAGGCCTGGCACTCCTGTTCAGATCCTGTATTTCCTAATGAGGAGTTAAATCCACTCGCTTCGTGTGATTGACCACTGGATCACTCCTGTCAATAAACAACGTGAGTGAGAGCGATCAAAATAGGTGTGATTTCTGGAGAGCAGATGCCAAAGAAGGTCGGATCCTGTGCCTCTCATAGGACGTTGCCCAGACTGTTGCAATTTTCTGGTGGGATTGAGTCACCAGCAAATTCAGGCGGCACAGTTATTATTTACAGTGGTACCTCGGGTTACAAACGCTTCGGGTTACAGACGCTTCGGGTTACAAACTCCGCTAACCAGGAAGTGGTTGCTCCAGGTTAAGAACTTTGCCCCAGAATAAGAACAGAAATCGTTCGCCAGCGGCACAGCGGCAGCAGAAGGCCACATTAGCGAAAGCACGCCTCAGGTTAAGAACTGTTTCAGGTTAAGAACGGACCTCTGGAACAAACTAAGTTCTTAACCTGAGGTACCACTGTATTTGTTTGTTAAATCTGTATGCCGCCCTTCATCTATAGATCTCAGGGCTGTTCACAATGTAAAACTGGCTTGGCACTCTTGTGTAAGAACTTTGCCAGCCCCCCCGCCCCGAACTTTGTGTGATAGGCAACTGCTCTAGGAAGTCTGGGATAACAGTAGATTGCTGCAATGTCGCAAAGCTTCCCTACAGACAAATCGGAATGAATGTTTGATAAAGGGTTGATGTTGCCTAATCAACTTCTGCAAACTTTGTGCAAGTCCACCACTCCACAAGGATGAATAATAATAATAATAATAATAATAATAATAATAATAATTTATTATTTATACCCCGCCCATCTGGCTGGGCCTCCCCAGCCACTCTGGGCGGCTTCCGTAGAAACCAAAAATGCACTAAAATATCACACGTTAAAAACTTCCCTGAACCTTAAGATGTCTTCTGAATGTCAGGTAGTTGTTTATCGCTTTGACATCTGGTGGGAGGGCGTTCCACAGGGCGGGTGCCACTACCGAGAAGGCCCTCTGCCTGGTTCCCTGTAGCTTTGCAGGGAATGGGTTTGCAAGTTATTTCTCTCTCCCTGTTGTTAACTTTATTTTGCGTCTGCATTGGTTCTTCTTCCAATACAAAAAACAGGCTTGTCTGGAAGTGACCATAGCAATATATGCGATGCCATGTTTGGTAGGCAGAGAAACACAAGGGGGACCTGCAACAAAATGTGCCCCCTCTTCAACTGTGTTCTACCTCCTCGAATGTTCAGTGACCATCGATGAAAGCAAAAAGTTCATTTGCTACCAAACTTTTTAAAAATTTCAACGGCCTTTGACCTCCTTCATCTCTGGCCACCGTAATCCCAAGCAGGCACCTTCCATTTTATGTGCAGGAGAAAGCAAGTGGATTTCTTTTTAAATCAGTGGAAGGTTTGGGTATGCAGCTCTTTGAAATAAGTGGCAGACAGCAGTTCGTGAGCTTAGATTAGGGACTCGCTGTGAGGGAGTGGGAATTCGCAACAAAGCACAGTCACATTATATGTTATACATACCTTTCAACTGTATAGAAGCCTCAAATACCAATATTTATTTTGTAAAGGTTCTCTTCCATATTTACACCAATCATATACTGGGCCACTTTCCTCCAAATTCAGGCCCCTTCTCCCTTCGACATGTCATTTCCCAGTACTAATTTCCCATTTTTCCACAACAAAGGTTCTTAAAAACCCCTGTTCCCTGCATTGTATCCTTCTGGATACACCCAAAAGGGACTCCTTGAATCTGGCAGAGAATCTCTTCCTCCCACTGAACGCCCATGCCCTACACCCACCATTAAGCAGACGTGAGTCATACCCATTCCTTTGTGGGATATCGACTTCCCCGTAGGGAATTTGCCTTACGTGAAGCACCTTTTTCTAGTTGCTCCTCTATTCCAAGCACACAAGGGGGAGCCAATCGCTAAACAGTTTTAACAGGAAATGCCTTTATCCCAGAACGGGTTTGCAAGTTATTTTTCTCTCCCTGTTGTTAACTTTATTTTGCATCTGCATTGGTTCTTCTTCCACTGCAAAAAATATTTGTAATTCATTTGAGCCCTGTCACAAAGATGCAACTGCATTTCTTCCAGCCCCGCGAGGGACCGTAGCTGGAAGCATCTGGAATGAACATCATCAACATGGATGCACAAATCCAGCCTTCACAGGGGCTTATTTTCAAAGCATTGTAAACGGACTTTCCCGATGCTGTGTTCCATTTCCGATGATTTCGGCTTCGGTGCTCCTCACAGCTGGCCTGGATCTCTGTCAGCTAGAGCGGCTTGGCAATCAGTTCCCAAGAGGATGCTACTGAACCTGTGAGCGCATTCAGGTTCCCCATAGATTTCTCTGAGCCATCAGAAGGTGTGGTTCTTCTCCAGGTGGCCTGTTTGTGGAGCATTCATCCTGAAGGCTGGCGCAAAGCTAATGCAGAGATTAGACAACGCCTCTTCTTTATTGAGTGACCGATATCTCGTTATACATATTCCCATTAATAATCTGCTCATTCCACACTTTGTAGTGTACCCCCATCACTTTCCTAACTATACAAAGCCTTTTTAAAAAAAGTGGGTTTGTTGTGCCAGAACATTTTAATCCACTTTGATTGCAGAAACCTAAATTTCCGGTATGCGACTGAACGAATCCCTCCAACAAAATGCTGACAGCCTGGAGGCGACCTTGAATGGAACGATTGAGCATTGCAATGTGGAAAAAGATTAATTCCTTGACTCTCATGAGTCGGCCTTGGCTTTAATCGGCCATTGGCCTCTTCTGCCTTGACTGATAAGATGGAAGGAGGAGATTCCCTCGATCTTCCCTAGCAGTGACAGCCCGAAAATGACCGATATATCGATCTGTCCAATTCATTTAAGGCGTTCACTGCTGTTCAGAAATAGCTCAGCCCCCACCCCCTTCACATTTGCTCACTTAACAGCATGTTTTCGTTCCCCTGTGGGCTTGGACCGAGAAACGAAAATCCCTGTGTATTCCACTTCCTGAACTAGGCACTCTTTACTTGCAACACAATTCCAAAGTCAATAAAGAAGAAGTGCTTGTGGCTTTGCCTGCGATTTTTTCTCCTTAGCCAAAACCTTAATGTCTGTTGCAGGTGGAGGGAGTGTTTTCTGCTTTCTGAGTCAGATTTAAAACGACAACCAAATAGTTCTGTAGAACGGTTTGGCTTTACAAAGCATGTTTACAGGGGTGGGGGAGTGTTAGCAAAAGCCAGGCTATTTGGAGGAAATGGGCACTCCTGCATTTAAATTTGCTGTATGTCAGGGAGCCTCGCATTTAGGGGAACTTCGCATTCAGGAGTCAAATGTGGCCAGTATAGATCTTTTCACATAAGCACTAATTAATTAATTTCAAAGGGTTTACTCCTAATATGGCAGATGTCAACTACAGTATCTATTATATTGCTACCCTGGTCTTCCTCCAAAGGACTTAAAGGTAAAGGTAAAGGGACCCCTGACCACTAGGTCCAGTCACAGACGACTCTGGGGTTGCGGTGCCCATCTTGCTTTATTAGCCAAGGGAGCTGGCATACAGCTTCCAGGTCATGTGGCCAGCATGACTAAGCTGCTTCTGGAGAACCAGAGCAGCATACGGAAGTGCCTTCCCGCCGGAGTGGTACCTATTTATCTACTTGTACTTTGACATGCTTTCTAACTGCTAGGTTGGCAGGAGCAGGGACCGAGCGACGGGAGCTCACCCCATCACGAGGATTCGAACCGCCGACCTTCTGATCAGCAAATCCTAGGCTCTGTGGTTTAGACCACAGCAGCTTAATTGTGGTTTGCAAAGAAACAAACAATCCTTTGGACTGGTAATTTGTTGGGTTTTTAAAATATATATTTTTTAAAATATATAAAAACCAAATCTAATACATAACAGTAATTTATATGTCACAATAGATAGTAATGGTTCATGTCTCATTTTCAAACATTCTTGATGACTTCCCTTTTTTCTTTAAGATATGCATAAAAGAAGATATCCACATATTTCAATTATCTGACTCTGGAAGCAGGCAAAATTGTGCCAGATCTTCCAGATTATGATAGGCAGCCAATGGGGTTCGGTTCTTGGTAAGTGTATATGGATTTCAGATTCACTGTTTGTTTGTTTTTTGTAAATGCGGATTTTTGTTTTGTTTTTTGTATTAGGACATTAGAGGGTTTCTTGGGGTGGGTGTGTGAAAATCATGTGCTGTGTATGTTTTAACTATTTGTGCATGATTGTATAACTTCTCTGGTCAAACCCCCAGGGATGAATGCTGGTCTCCTTTCCCATAATAAAACTGTATTACTTTTGGGGCAGGGGGCGGAGACTCTATTACTTAAACCCCATTAGACAATGGATTGAGAAAGAGGCAGGAGCCTGACACTGGGGAACCCATAACTGATAAAGACTGGTGAGAAATCTGGGCTGGATTTATGCCAGGTCAGTTTCTGCCAGAGTTAGGGAAAACACTTTTAAACTCACTCGCCATTGGTAACTTGAAGTCTGCAGACAATAAATGCCGGAGAAAGTGCTGGGCCCCTGGTTCTTGTTATCCCATGTCGTGGTCCTGCCCAAAGTCACCTTATTCTGGTGGAAAGCATTTTTGGAAATGAAACATATAACTAACCCAAAGCTTCCACCGCCCAGTCCTAGGCTCACTCTCCTTTCGCTCTTTGATTCTGAAACATTGTTACGGCTGCCATATTTAATTGCACGCCTTATCGAAGCAGCTAGGCTATAGCTGAGTTTTGCAGAACTTGTGAAAAGAATGAACTATTCAGATGGGGACTTTGGCACTGATGGAACAACCGACTCGTAAACTTCGAGCCCCAAGCAATGAACATGCTCCTCATAAGTTTTACACCATCTGGAGAAGTTTTATTTTGTATGCAGTAGCAAAGGAACAGAGCTTTCACCCGCCTAGCAGACATGGACATAATGTGGAACAGCACTTTGGGATAATTTATATTGAACCAACCAGGTTGACCAGGAAGGTGTGTCTGTTTGATTTCTCTCTCTCCTTTTCTGTATTTACAAAATTATTATTATTATTATTCTTTTTAAAAAGAAAGCCCACAGATGCAACTTTAGAAGCACTTTTGCATCTTTGTCCTTTGGCAGGGCTTACTTCAGAGGTGGTGCAGAACTTCAATTCAGTTCATACTGAAAGGTGACTCTGCCTATTTTGTACTTTCCCAAACAATACACAAACTGAAACGTAGCACTTCATCAAAATTCACGCTTCTCTGAATTTTGAAATGAGGTTCTACAACAGAGTAATGTGTAAAAAAGGGGGGCAGATATTATCTCATCTCGCTTTATTGGCCGAAGGAGACGACGTAGAGCTTCCAGGTCATGTGGCCAGCATGACTAAGCCACTTCTGGCGAACCAGAGCAGCACACGGAAACGCTCTTTACCTTCCTGCCGTAGCGGTACCTATTTATCTACTTGCACTTTGATGTGCTTTCGAACTGCTAGGTTGGCAGGAGCAGGGACCGAGCAACGGGAGCTCACCCCGTCGCGGGGATTCAAACCGCCGACCTTCTGATCGGCAAGTCCTAGGCTCTGTGGTTTAACCCACAGCACCACCTGTGTCCCAAGGCAAAACTGCACGCAAACATTTTTATATTCAGAGAAATTCAAGCTAAAATGGTTGCTTTTAAAAAAAATGCAAACTGTTGTGGAAATGTGGAGAACTGACCTTAAGACTGGAAAATGTAGAATAGGAGGAAAAGCAGAATTGACAGATATGCCCACCTCTGCTTGGGAGCAAGTCCCACTTGAAAATAAAGGGATCTTGCAAGTCCATCACAGCTGCCTTGGATGAAGAAATAAATGATCCTCCCCCCCAAAAAATATTGTGTTCCCAGTGACAACCAGACTTCCAGCTGCAGCTAACTCAACACTGATAGCAGGACAGGATCCTCCATCACAACTGAAGGCAGAAGGGTGCATGCCACACCCAGCTCTGCCTTCCAGCACTTTGCTGCTGCTCTCAACTTCTGTTGCTCCATGGCAGGCATCCCCAACCTGTGGCCCTCCAGATGTTTTGGCCTACAACTCCCATGATCCCTAGCTAAAAGGACCAGTGGTCAGGGATGATGGGAACTGTAGTCCAAAACATCTTGAGAGCTGAAGATTGGGGATGCCTGTTCTATGGGCTTCCGGATGGTAAGAGCTGTTCTGGCAGGAGAACGATCTGCCCCAGGAGCTGGTGGCCGCGGGAGGTATTTAAGCAGATGGTGGTCAAGGATGCTCAAGCTGCAAGATCCTGGACTGCTGCCTGGCTGGTTGGTCTAGACAGCATCCAGGATCCCATTCAGCTCTTAAAATCCCATGGCAGGGAACCTGCTGCCCTCCAGATGTTGTGGGACTCCAGCTCCCATCATCATCATGGTTAGGGAATTTGTGGGCTGACTACATCTGAAAGGCCATAGAGTCCCTCAGCCCTGAGTAGTTTGCATTTGGTAGGGGAAACCTCAGGCCAGGGATCAAATGCTGCTCTCCCTAAGCCACGCCCCCTCTCCCCAGGACACACCCTTCACCGGTCCTGCTCTGCCCCTTCCTTGATTGCCTTTGCATGGCTGGAACATGCCTTTGATTGCCACCTGCTAGCTCAGGTGGAGGGAGGGAGAGCTACCTGTACGCAGGGTGTGCACATCGAAACCTCTGGTTTATGCCTAGCAGGGTTGTGCCCTGTTGCACAGAGGCAAGACTCTTGCAGTGCAGGGATCACAGCTAAGAGGCACACCCATGGCTCCGCCCACTCTTGTTTCTGGCCCCACCCACCACTGGAACCTTGGTAGGCTGTCAATGAAAGAAGGAGGCCTTCTGCTGGAAAAAAGCAGGTCTTCCATCTCTGCAGTAGGTCACTTAGTTTGTGGTGGCCAAAGGTGCCAATGAAATGGATTGAGAAAACCCTTAAGAGGAGGAGAGTGAAGATCCAGCTGCAGCTGATTTGGCAGGCCTGAGCCAGCCACACCTGAAAGTTATCATTATTATTTTTTTGCCCAGGGAGCCTTTCCTTCCCAAGCATAGAGCCATCTGGGCTCTGATCCAGATCAGGACTGCAATGTGTGTGTATGTGTGGCATGGAGAATAAGGATTAAAGCCCCCTTACCTCCCCCTGCCAGGGTCCCAGGCAGGAAAGGGGTGGGTGGGGCACACACCTGCTGTTTACTTTTAATTTTAAAAAAAAATCACAAAATTGCTGATTGCATGAATGGCATCAGGTTCCAGCCTGGCCCTTGATGAACACAGCTGTGTGAACTTTGTAAGATGAGCTTTAAGAGGAGAAATGAGCACAGGCATAGATGTCCTTTCCCTGCTTGCAACACCTTCCTTCTACAACTAGGGAAAGGCTGTGGCTCCACACGAGAGCATCTGCTTGGCATTCAGAAGGTCCCTGGCATCTTGAGGTAGGACAGAGAGACACCTGTGTCTGAAACCCTGGGGAGCTGCTGCCAGTCAGTGTAGGCAGTACTAAGCTAGATGGATCAATAGTCTTGACTTAGGACAAGGCAGCCTCTTACATTCTCTTTGTGTGGGTTATGGGCTTTCAAGTGTACATATCCAAATTCCTCCTTGAACCTTTTTCCCGGTTGAGGATGCAATCCTAGTTATACTTACCTGGAATTGAATCTCACTGAACTCAATGCATTTTATGAGTAGACCCACAACTAAATTGACTTACCCCTTTAGCAGGCTTTGATAAGCTTGCGCTGGCAGGGGTACAATCCTAAATTTGCCCATATGCTTACAGAGCCTGTCTACTCAAAAGCAAGTCTCCCAAGTTCAGCGGCACCCCATCCCAAGTTAAGTTTGCAGTCTGTAACAGTGCAATCCTAGCCCTGCCCTATTCAGAAGTAAGTCCTACAGAAGCCAGCGCTGGTTGCTTTTGGCTAAGCAGGGTTATAATTTGTTATTTAGCGCCTGAATATATAACCCACCCTTTTCCTCCCTGGAACTCAAGATGGCGTATGCGGTTCTCCCGCACAATAATCCTGCCAGGTAGGTTAGGCT